GAAGGCTAATTGGATTGGTCATGTTTTACGCAGAAACTGCCTTCTAAAAGAAGCTATCGAAGGAAAGATAGATGGGCGGATAGAAGTGACAAGAAGACGAGGAAGAAGACGTAAGAAGATGCTGGATGACCTTGGGGACAGAAGAGGATACTGTCATGTGAAGGAGAAAGCTCTAGATCGCATTAAGTGGAGGAATTGTTTTGAAAGAGACTGTGGACCTGTCGTCTTGACAGATTACTGATGATGATGATTTATATCATTAAATTTTCTATTTATTTATGTTCTGAGGTCATTTGGCGGTGCTACTATTGCTTCACTAATCCAGATTATCACTTAATCTCTGTGACCTCTCCCCTCAGTTACTCCAGATTAACAAGGGTTTACTGTAATGCAATTGTTGTGTAAATTCTATTATTATTATTACGTTATTATATTATATTACCATTGTATGTGGTATTTTATTCAAAGATTTCTTATGTCTGTATTTTTGCTGAAAATATATTCTGGGATTAAGATACCCTGTGACTTTAATAAGAACAGAAGGCATAGGTAATATTCATGCCATATTGCTGTATTGAATGAAATTAACTGTCAGGACCAATATTTGTGACCAACTTGCCCCTTCTTCTCTGGGAATACATATTTTAGATCTCTCACTATTGTGGCACTAGTGGCCTTATTGTAATCCATTTGTAAGCATTTGTCATCTAGAGATTAAAAGTAAAAGTGAAGGTATCCCTGTAACAGGCTGTGGAGGCCCATAGGGTTGTGAGATGTTGAGGTTCCCACATTTTCTAGACAGTTGGCTCATAGATGGCGGTAAGTTTGTCAGCCCCCAAGAATATTCCTGGTACTCTTTTATGTTAGAGACTGAGTTGAGCCCAGGGTCATAATGCAGCTGGAAGGATTAGGTCAATTGAAAAAATCCATTGACCTCATCAGGACTTGAACCTGTGACCTTCCGGTTTGTAGCATAGTGCCTCAACCAATTATGCTACCGCGTGCCCCCCATCTAGAGATGGGGGATTTAAAATTTCTTGGTTCTACAGGTCTGCTGGTCATATTTTAATTTCAATGTAACACCAGTAGTGTTAAAAGAAATGTAGCTGGGCCACACACATGCTGATGCAGTAATGTTAAGCATGGCTGATGACTGATAATGAGACAGGAGATGTAATTAATGCTCATGCCTTTGCTAGTTTGTATGGTAATATTTCAGAAAGTTATCCAATGGTATTAAATGTGAGGACGGTAGCAGAGTTAGTGCAGTTTCTCTGTTTGAGAATTTACAGTCTTGAAAGAGCTAAATTTACAGTAAACCCTTGTTATAATGGATTAACAGGGGTAACCAGGGGTCCGTTATCACTGATGTCTGCTATAACCAACTGAAGGGGGTATTCATGGAAGTACACCATAGGGCACACAGTCACTACACACAACATAGAAACACACAATGTGATTATATAAAGGTTTTTAATGTAGATTTTTTTATTTATTTTAAATAGTTTCCTAACTACAAATCCTTCTTAGAGCCTCAATGTCTCAAAAAATTCACAATTGCACGCAGCCAGATTTTGCCAGTTATATTTGGGTCTGTTATAACTAAGGTTTATGGTAGTTTAAAGAATGTGTGATGTTATCATGTTCTCTATACCCCGCTGCTAAGCGATTATGTGAACAATCTGTAAGGAGCATGTAATTGAGATAGGAATAGGAGGCCTACGCAGGGACTTGCAAACATCATGTTTGTATGGTACTGAAAGTAATGTACATGTAGTAACATAGGTGCCACGCTTGATGTTAGCATTCCCAGACATCAGCAACTCCTCTAATGGTGGCAGCAGGCAGAGGCTTCCTGAATACAGTGGAGCAGCTGCTCAGTCTTGGTGCAAACCTTAATATTCGGGCATCCAACGAATGGACCGCACTGGACTGGGCTCGTGCCATGAAGCAGAATGATATTATTGAGCTTATAGAAGCATACATGTAAGTTGAACCTGTTCCATTGCTTCTGCTGTGACAATCTGAGGTGACCAGTTTAGATTTGAAAGATCTTGTATCATGTCTCAGAGCCAAGCTTAGCTCTTGTAAATAAATTTGAGAGTGCAGGATATTCATGGATTCTTATTATGGTGTATACATGTATGAATCCTCCTACACTGAACGTCAGAGTCAAGTGGCTAACCTTTCTTGGGAAGTGTCAGGTTCAAATTTCAACCTGGAGATTGTCTGTTTCCTTAGGGCCGCGCCATAGCTCAAGCGGTTAGTCACTGGCTTCCCACCGTGGTGGCCCAGGTTCGATCCCGGGTCTGGTCAAGTGGGATTTGTGGTGGACAAAGTGGCGCTGGGGCAGTTTTTCTCTGCGTACTTCTGGTTCCCTGCCAACCTTCATTCCACCAAATTCTCCATCATCATAATCACCCAGGGCAGGCTACAGTAGTCCATTCAGTGGCCGCCGTGCCAAGTGGACCCAGTTGGACTCCACCCCCCGCTAAGCGAATTGTCTATTTTCTTTGGTTTGCTGAATTCTTCCAGCCAAATTCTGGGATAGTACTCAAAATAAGACCATTGATTCAAATTCACTGAACAGATATGCATTCAGCAGGTTCTTTGTTCAAATCTTGGCATGCAGACCAGTTATCCTGAGAATCTTCATGGTTTTCTCAGACCACAAATGCTTAGGCCATGGCCACTTCCTTCCAAACCCTTTCCAGTTCATTATTCACCAGTCATACCATTCATTGCTATAGAGTCTGAGATCCCGATAGCAATTTAAAATAAGAAGAAAGCAGTCTTCTGGGATTTGGCACCGTGTATATGTGGTGTTAACCGACGTTTCGGAGGAACGTATCGCCTCCATCTTCAGGGTAGAAGAAATCCGCAAGCGAAGTGACCATGAGAACCGACTGCTTTTACCGGTTCTCACGGTCTCTTCGCTTGCGGATTTCTTATATTTTTTCTTCTACCCTGAAGATGGAGGCGATACATTCCTCCAAAACGTCGGTTAACACCACATATACACGGTGCCAAATCCCAGAAGACTGCTTTCTTCATAGTCACCCCCGTGAAAGCCTCAAATCTTACAATTTAAAATAACTTACATCCTTTTCCAATTCATTATTAACCAACTGTTATCATTTGACACTATGTAATTTTATACAGTTAATTTTATACAGTATTGTTAAATAGATCAGGCTTGTATAAATTAACCTTTATGCTAGTTGAGCCCATAATAATGTGACATGTTGCGCAATGGAGGACAAACCCTCCCTCCCCTAGCAGTGACATGGCAGCTCTGGCCATGGTGACGTAGCCCCCCCTGGGCTATGTGGCACCGCTTCCTACTGTGACGAGGCACGCAACGCGCGGTGACGTAACATGGCGTGAGGCAACAGCGGTACCGATTACATAACAGGCGAGCACTGTGACTATATAAGTGAACCACACTGCCTACGAAGCCAGTTGAAATGTGGCCGTCGCGGAGTTCTGTTGTCGCAGTTAGTTAAAAGTGTATCAGCGGCCGAAGACAGTTCTCCAGTCAGCAGTGAACAAGTTAGTGTGTGTGGTGTGTGTTAAGGAGTGGTGCCATGAAATATAGCAGCCGCCGAAGACAGTGAGTGTGTGATACAGGGGCACTTACATAGCTCCCGTATCGTAATTAATACGTGTAGCCTACTGAAGATAGAGGGAACAGATTATTGCGAATAAAGTTATAAAGTGTGAAACCCCGCAACTGTGTTATAATTAATTGTAGCCGAGACTTGTAGGTTGTTAAATAAACCAATTAACAATCTCTACGGCGTATTCAGTAACCAGACACGTTACAATACTATGGGAATGCCTGAACATGGGATGCTTGCTGTGCCCACATACTTAACAGGTGCAATCTTTGTAAATACTCATCGACTGAACTATTTTCTGAAAGTGTTCAAACTTGGCCAGGCTTTTATTTCCATCTATTGTGAACATAATGAACTATGAGCAGACCTTTTGCTTTGATGACACCTATAAAGGAGTTTATAAACTACAGCATCTAGCAACGGGAAAATCCTACTCCACATTTCACCTGACCTTGACTATCTGAGGGATAGTAAAAATACATCTAGATCAACCAGAATGATCATCTTTAAGTAATCTAAGATTTAGTATGAATGTGTTATTCAAATTTCCACTTAATTTCACTTATTTTCCTAAACAAACATCACAAAATTAATTCTTCACAGGGGATTATGCTAGGCTTTATTTACTCAACAGTAAAGGTAAAGTTGTCCCTGTGCTTAGTTAATTAAGCACTACGCCATGAAGACATGGGGGAGAGTGGATGTATACGTTGTGCATTCAAGTTCTAAGGTCTCCGATTTTTTTTCTCAGACAATAATCATACAAAAAATTTGAAACTTCTGTCACTTTCCAACGTAATCTCCCTGCAGCTGTACACATTTTTCACAACGTCGACGCCATGATTCCATGGCTGCTGCGAACGCTTCTGTAGGAGTCTGTTTTGACCACTGGAAAATCGCTGATGCAATAGCGGCACGACTGGTGAATGTGCGACCACGGAGAGTGTCTTTCATCGTTGGGAAAAGCCAAAAATCGCAAGGAGCCAGGCCAGGCGAGTAGGGAGCATGAGAAACCACTTCAAGGTTGTTTTCACAAAGAAATTGCTGCGTCGCATACGCCCGATGCTCTGGCGCATTGTCCTGGTGAAAGAGCACACGTACAGCCTTTTCCAGCCGTTTTTCTTGCAGTGCTGGAAGGTGCTTGTTCTTCAAAACATCTTGGTAGGATACACCTGTCACCGTATTGCCCTTTGGAATTCAGTGAGTAAGGATTATGCCATTGTTGTCCCAAAGCATGGCCACCATCATTTTTTCAGATCCCACAGAAATGCCAACTTTGGAGGCGATGTTTTCCACACTTAATCGGCAATCCTCCAAAACAACTTTCTCAACTTGCTCGACCATGTTGTCAGACCAGCTGGTGCGGGCCAAGATTGTTTTTGGTTCGTTGTCACACGACGTTCGGCCTTCTTTGAACTGTCTCACTCAACTGGCGATGAATTTCAGTGGGTGTCGCACCACGCAAGTGGAGAAAACGAATGATTGCTCGCGGTTCTTGTAACGAAAACGTCGCGATTTTAGGTATCAAAAACACTCCTCACTCTTGCACACACCATTAGAAATCTGTGTGCCGTACAGTGCTGCCATCTCTGTCACACATTCTCAAAGAGTGCACACATATTTTAAACTAAACCGCATGTGTCTATCTGCTCCCAGTCCTGAGAAAAAAAATCGGAGACCTTAGAACTTGAACGCCCCTCGTAGATTCACATTTTCTTGACCTTGGCACTGGTTTGAGGTGAGTGGTTAACTTCACACCCTGACCACTTTACCCCCAGTGAAAGAACCCCTGGTACCCATTGGATAGAAGGCTGGGTGGGCCCCAGAGCCAGTCTGGACAACATGGGGAAGAGAAAATTCTTGACCCTATTGGGACTTGAACTCCAACTCTTTGGCTGTCCAGCCCATAGCCAGTTGCTGTACTGACTGTGCTATCCTGGCTCCTATTTGCTCAGCAGTGAAAGGATTAATTGCTGATCACTAGGGCTCGGATTTCTATGACCTAAAAGCTTTGAAAATATGCATAATTGTGTATTCTTCTAATTCTTGTTTTCAATAAAAAACCAAAGAACAAATTGAACTACGTAACTACATGGAGCTGACCCCTTGTTGAGAAGCCACCAGTTGTGTGGCTACTCAAGTACTTCCCAACATTTTGTGTAAGCCGAAGGTTCATCGCCATGTTCATGAGAGCTCACCACTGGTCCCTATCCTGAGCCAGATCAATCCAGTCCATACCACCCCATACTACATCTCTAGGATCCATTTTAGTATTATCCACCCACCTGCATCTTGGTCTTTGTAGTGGTCTCCTTCCTTCTGGCTTTCCCACCAATATCATATATGCATTCTCCCCCATTCATACTACATGCCCTGCATATATCATCCTGTTTGATTTGATTGTTCTATTTATACTTGGCACACACAAACTTTAATTGATGCTGGTTAGGAGGTTGGTCTAGAAGTAAACACAGAGAAAACAAAATATATGTTGGTGTCTCATCACAGTCAGTGGAATGAGAATTTGCGAGGGAAACCAAAGTACGTGGAGAAAACCTGCCCCAGTGCCACTTTGTCCACCACAAATCAAACATGTCCTGGCCTGGGCTTGATCTCACACTGCCACAGTGGGAAACCAATGACTAAGCACCTGAGCTATGGCATAGCCTTTCTTCTGAATCTTACCATGGAAGGAAATTTCGTTGTGACACTGTTTTAGGCTGTTTGAAGTTCACTCTTTAAGTGATTAATAAATTGGAAATATTATCCATTCAGCCATAGCTGTCATTCTCATTCAATGACAGCTTATTCAGCTTATTGCTGTTATAAGCATTGGTGGCCCAATGATACATGTGCATAAACTGATACATATTGATTAAGGGAACATGTACAGAATTGCTAATATTTAACTGATGTGATACTTTTACATCTGGATAATGGCCCGAAAATATAAAATGTTTTCTTTTAACTGATAGAAACTGGGATTTATTGTTTAGATTCAAGTCATGTCCATATTGACACATGTACTGTCTCATTTTTGTTTCAACATCCTACTTTGAAGAAATTTTTTATAGTTCTGTGTTTGTGTGTCACAGGAACACAGAATTAAGTAATTGCCCAGAATTACTGCCATCACATGACGATCCAGAGCTAGGGGAGGATGAGAAGGAACTCCTGGACATTTACCATCACAGTTTCAATGATGAAAATATTGACATGGATCTCTTGATGGCCCTCCTCTGTGACATTCATACTTCACAGGATAAAGGCAAGTCTGCTAGAAGTGATCAACTCTGATATACTTGCTGTCCTATTTATTCTTGAACAGAATTGTAAAAATTTATTATTATGATGGTACATAATCGCAGAAAACAACAACAACATAATAATTTACATGTAAATACAAAGTTTAAAATTTACATAAACACAAATATCATAAGACAAAAAAAAATATTAAGCATATTGTGACATGTATACCAGTTGCTAGGCAGTGACTCAGTAAACCCATTCCCATGGGAGCCAATGCGTGTGCCAGTAGAACTTGTGTTGCCTTGTCAGTAATAGAGGCTATGATTTCTGTGTGGTCCATGCTAAGGGGTTATAAAAGGACACAGAAGAGTGACCAAGTAAAGAATAGTAGTCAAGTCAAGTTTCAAGATGCCTGCCTCACAGGATATGAGCTTGGGAGTGAAGGAACTGAATTGAGTCGAGTCTTCGGAATTGGCAGTTGCAGAATAGTGGCAAGAAGGGAATTAGGTTGTGAAATGAAGACTACATATGTGATTTGAAGTGCCAGTCCCATATACATGAATGTTCTATATAATTTATGCATTGCACCAATGTCATTCATTCAGTTCAGTTAACTACAGACGTATTTGTAGAACTGCCTGACGATGGTCCCATGAGGACTGAAACATGTAGTAGCCACTGAAATAAACCAATTGTTAAAAGTTACCTTGGTTTATTTAATTAAATATTGTTGTGTTAGCCGCCAAACCTCTTACCATTAATTATGTTACACAACAGTATGCATACAATGAAGATAGATGTAGACACTCTGTTACACTGAATTAAGTTCCTAATTAAATCAACTTTTTGAAAATTTAACCCAACCAATTCAGTATTGAAATTCTCACATATATTTAGCTTGAAGAATTAACTGAACTCTAAGGATAATGGCTAATATAATTACTTACAAAGTGGAATATGTGTGTGATGCTTGTATTGGTGAAAGTTAAAGTTTGTTGAAATTGTACTGTTGTTGTGAAGAGAACATCAGTTTTGGAGCTGAGATATGAGACATTCATGGCAGTGACTATAAAGATACTGTCTTCTGGTATGGTAGATATTTCTATGAGAAGTCAGTAAACATTTCCCAGACCTGGCTTAGTATCCCAGTACACCTTAATCTTCAGTTTGGGAGCTCTCATAACCATGTTAATTCCACACCAACCTAATGGCACACTTTGTACTAGGTGCAATTCTTGTATTCTTGTCGGGATATGATGACATCATGAACGTGAGGGAGAGGATCACAGCTGAGGACAAGAAATTGACAGAGGCTTCCAAGTACGCTCTCTACACTTTACACTCAAATATGCAGGTGAGAATTAGAATTATGTATAATTATGAAACCATTTCTCTGTCTGTTGTATAAAGCTGTTAATCATTATAAATCACATTATTTACTTATGGCTCACACATTCAGATTATTGAGTTTTTTTCTTTTTCTTTCAGCATTAATACTTCTCTGTGGGTTGTCTAAGCTTTCACCTGACAAACTGACAAGTAAAATATCTCCATGGAATACAGCACTACTTTAAAAATTAATTGTTTCTAACTTAACCTAGGATTTCCTTTCCTTTTATGGAATGCAAAGCTGCAATAATATGCTCACAACAAAAGCCAGCCCAAGGACATGTGTATGACTTCATAACATGCTGGTGTCTTATGGAGAGGATTTCTAGCCTCGAAGCAAATTCTGAGGCTAGGAAGTTCTCCTAAGCTTTCAGTGACTATTTATCCAACACAATTACTGCTATTATTTCATACAAAATATATTTCCATCACTAATGCAACAAAGGTTGTAAAGCTAAAAGGGTAAAGCTGTCCCTGTGACAGGCTGTGAAGGCCCATAGGGTTGTGAGACATTGAGGGTACAGCCTGAGTGCGGCGGGGCGTGGAGCGGGGCATGAGCAACTTTATGGCAGGGACAGCAGTGGGTCGCTGCTGTGTCCTCAATGCACCTCTAGCGTTCATCGTTTTCAGGTGTGTTAAGGTCACAGTTTCCGTAGAAAATTGATTCAGATGACTTATTACTTGATATTATTTTAGAAGAGAATACAATTCTTAAAGCCAATTTATTCAGTGAAAAGAAGGGTCCAAGTGTTGTAGTAAAACAAAGGAAACTGTTTGGCGAGTTTAATACATTATATGAAAGTTTAAGAACGGAGCCTGTTAAATTTCAAGAATATACAAGAACGTCTGTATCCACTTTTTACTATATATTACAAAAAATTGAGTCTCATTTAAAAGTGACTGACACCAACTTTCATGTCACAATATCTCCTACAGAAAAATTAATTGTAACTTTGAGGTAAGTAAAAATGTAATACATCAGACTATTGAAGAGTGTCTGTTACATGTGCATGTGTATCTGCAACTTGATTCTGTCCAACTTCGGTAAAATAACCGCCTTGTCTGTTCCCATAAACATAAGAATATTGGTTCTGTGTAACTGCTTCTAGCAACCATTCATTGATTTGGCCTCGAAAATGTAGTTTCTGAATATCAGTCAGTTTTTTCGTTGTTGGCAAGATGCTCATTAAAAACAGATAATCTTCATCTGTTTTCAGTTTCCTGTCGATTTCACTTTCTGACAGACTCTTTTCTATTAGAAGAATTTTCTTCGTTTCTAAATCTAACATATCTTCCCCAAGAGTATTAGCCATTCGTTTCCTGGATGATGATGATGATGATGATGATGATGATGATGTAGGTGTCACACGAGATGCTGAAGACTGTATCTCCGAATCTAAATCATCTTGGTACATGGAAGAAAAGCTCTATGTGTCTTGCATGTCATATTCACTGCTACCTAAATTACCCACGGTCTCTGCTGGTATTAATTCATCCTTCATAAATGGCATGAGTAGGAAATACTGCCATGAAGGTGTGAAATATGCACGTGCTTCCGCTCCTGACATAGAAACGGGCTGCTTCTTCAACTCTTTTCTATATTGATCTTTCACACGTTTCCATCGCTTTTTCTGCATTTCCTCTGAAATTAAGAACACTAAATTGTGTTTTTTTTGCAGGTATCTTGCTACAGGAGTGGCATTCAGAGCTTTGACTTTTAATTTTCATATGGGAAAAACAACTGTGGCTACGATAGTTTATGAAACATGTTCTACATTATGGTCAGAATTGGTTAGCATACACATGCCACAGCCATCTCAAGATGACCTAAAGGAAATTGCAAGGGATTTTAACAGACTGTGGCAATTTCCAAACTGTACTGGTGCAATTGATGGGAAGCACTGTGAAATAATTTGTCCAACCCATTCTGGATCGACATATTACAATTATAAAAATTATTTCACAGTAATACTGCGGGGCGTTGCTGATGCAAATAAAAGATTTATAGCAATAGAAGTAGGTGGAAGAGGGAAACAAAGTGATGGAGGGACTTTTCACTACTTAGTTTTGAATAAATTAATGGAAAGTGGAAGATTTAACATTCCACCACCGGACATGATTCCCAGAAGTACGTGTTCTTTGCCGTACATTTTCGTTGGAGATGAAGCATACCACTTGAAGACAAATTTGATGCGTCCATTTCCAGAAAGATCTTTGAATGACAAAAGAAGGTACTTCAATGAGCGTCTTTCTCGTGCCAGGAAGTGTATGAAATGTGCTTTCGGAATTTTGTATGCCAAGTGGCAAATACTAGGGAAACCAATAGAAACCAACATGGAACATGCGTGCCTCATAATAAAAGCTACGTGTATTTTACACAATGTCATCAGAGATCCGGACGGAAATAGTGACACGCAGTACAATGCCATAATGAGCAATGAGTACTGTGAAAGTATTCGTAATGTGGGGCTCGGCAGGCGCAATAACAGTGCTTCTTTCATAGCAAGAAATGTACGAGACATGTTCGTAAACTATTTCTGTCAAATGTCATATGTAACTAAATAACGTCTTCTGTAGCAATGAACAATGGACATGTTTATACATATTTTTTGAGAAATCATAAGAGCATAATAAAATAAAAATATGAATACCTTCCATCCCAAGTTTTACTGCAATTTCATTCCATGTTTTCTTCGCTGTCGCCCTGCTTTTGTACAACGGATGGCGAGAGAGCCAGATTTCAGGTTTTCCTTGAACTTCCAAAATTATATCCTCAAAAGACATCTTCCGAATGCTACTGAAACACAAACTGGTTCGACCTGCACGCTGCATGCTCCTCTGCACGCTAGTACAGCACGCTGACCGCTCTGCTCAAAACGCTCGGTCCCAGGACACACCAATATATTCAAACGGGTTTGTGATGCACACCCCGCTGCACTCAGGTCATACCCTGAGGCTTCCACATTTTCTAGACAATCGGTTCACAGATGGTGGTAAGGTTCTCAGCCTTACATGCCAGGTGCTCTTTACCCTTAGGAAGATCCTGGTACCCATTTGTGTTGAAGGATTACGTAAATTGATAAAATCCAATGACCTCATCAGGGTCAAAAGTTTTATACCTGTAGTCACTTTAATTCTCTATTCACAACATGTTTCTGCCATACATGGCCATCATCAGGTGTCTGTCTCTGTGCTAAACTGTTGTGCTATACTGCATGTGGCTAGTTATCGGTACTCCTTAATTAAAATTAAAGATTCATTTTAAAATAAGTCAGCCCTATTAAATTTAATAAAAGCAATTCCAGTCTTCTTATAGGACCTATTAGTTCATTCTTCGGCTGGTTGTGTATGTACGTATTTCATGTAGTTCATGGGTGTTGGAATGAATGTTGATTTCTCTTATCTGCAGTATGTAAGATTATCATCATATGTTCTTTGTATAGTTTGTTTTTCTGTGTGAATTTTCTTATTAATACTCACATATGTTCCTTTGGCTGTAGAGGCATCACCCAACTTGTGTAGTTATGTTGTTGTTTACCTTGTCTGTGCATGCAGCTAGTGTGGGTGTTGGTGTTTTATCATGATTTTGTAGTGCAACTGGAGGGGGGGGGGTGCAGCTTTCTAATGTGAAATTCATGCAGTGTCCCAAATATGGGGTTGTATGTGTTGGTGTATGTATCATTCATATGCAGAGTTTCCTTACTGATTGTAGAGATGTAATATTTTTATAAGATATTTCAATGTTTACTCTTTCCTTTCTGTTTTTATAATATTGGTGCAACTTACTTACTTACTCATGGAGCTGAGCCCTTCTTGAGGAGCCACCAATTCTGCAGGTAGTCAAGAATTTCCCAGCATTTTATGGAACCCGAAGGTTCATTACTGTGTTCACAAGAGCCCTCCACTGGTCTGTATCCTGAGCCACATCAATCCAATCTATACCAGGATAGGACCAGTGGAGAGCTCCTGTGAACACGGTAATGAACCTTCGGGTTCCATAAAATGCTGGGAAGTGCTTGACTAGCTGCAGAATTTGTGGCTCCTCAAGAAGGGCTCAGCTCCATGAGTAAGTAAGTAAGTAAGTTGCACCAATATTATAAAAATAGAAAGGAAAAAGAGCAAACATTGAAATAGCTTATAAAAATATTACATCTCTACAATCAGTAAGGAAACTCTGCATATGAATGATACATACACCAACACATACAACCCCATATTTGGGACACTGCATGAATTTCACATCCATACCATCCCATCCTATCTATCTAAGATCCATTCTAATATTGCCCACCCATGTAGGCCTTGGTCGTCCCTGTGGTCTCTTTCCTTCTGGCTTTCCCCCCGGTATCCTATAGGCATTCCTCGTCTTCCTCATTCGTGCTACATGACCTTCCCACCTCAGCCTCCTGACTTGATCATTCTAATTATACTTGGAGAAGAGTACAAGTTATGAAGCTCCTCATTATGCAGTTAATATTGATGCAACAGGATGCTTAATTACAATATTATAGTTACAGCTACCTTCCATGTCTAAAGGCCATTAAGGCTCATAAAGATGTTATTTACATGCTTACATTTTCAGACTGGCGACCAGAAGCACGTTTTCCGTCCTCCGCCGCCAGGTGTCCGTAAGATTATCCTATCTACAAACATTGCTGAAACCAGTGTCACCATAGATGATGTGGTGTTTGTTATAGATTTGGGCAAGGTAAAGGAGGTAAGTGCACAAGGACATTGGTGTCAGCTTGCAAAGCAAAACCTCTTCTGATCAGATTGCTGCATTTTCATAAAAGGAAGGTACTCAGGGCTGAAACCCATGGTCCAAATGACCATGTTTAAATTCAACGCAGAGCTGGAATGTACTGTAATTATTTGAATGGGATTTTCACATGGATGTTGAATGATGTTAATGCAATGCCTGTGCAAGGAACAGAAATTGGGCTGCATAAGGTTAAGTTCATGTTCCATTAATCTAGAATATTAGTCTTCAGATAACCTACTCTGTTGTATTTCAGGATTGAAGATTCATGTTGTGGTCTTCTGGGTTATGGCACCAACGTAGATGGGTACCAGTGTTTCACAGGAATGTATTGCTTCCATCTTCATGTTACATGGTGTCATAGCCCACAAGACTACAACATGAAGGTGCTGTATTTACTTGACTGTAAGAGGAATTTGTTTTCTTTTAATTTTTAATCCAAAATAGAGGGTCATCTTAAGTTCAGTAAACAGAAACATGTAAAAACTACGCCATTTGAACAGTTTCTAAGAAGATAGATATCTGGCAACCATGCATACCTCAAAACCTGAAAACTCCCCAGGTATTTATTTACAGATATTTTGAAGGCAGTAGACAGTTTTTATCATGATTACTTTACAGCTTGAGTCGGCAGGAAAGAGGCTCAGAATGAGAGCTGTGAAATGAATGATGAGAAAAAATTACTCTAAAGAGGTGACTGTAGACAAATGATCACAAAGAAAGCCTTGATCCCATTTTTACTTCATAATATCCGTTCACGGTAGCATAATTGGTTGAGGCACTGTGGTACAAGCCAGAAGGTCACGAGATTGAATCCCGATGAGGTGGACTTTTTCAGTGTACCTAATCCTTCCAGCTGCTCTATGGCCCTGGGGTTGACTCAGCCTTTAACAGAAATGAGTACCAGGAATATTCCTGGAGGTAAAGGGCAGCTGGCGCGTAAGGCCATCTGTGAGCTAATTGTCTAGAAAATATGGGATCCTCACCATCTCACAACCCTATGGGCCTCCATGGCCTGTTACAGGGATACCTTTACTTTACTTACTTACTTTTACTAGCTGTTGCTAGGAGTCAGGATGGCTCAGTGTAGCAATGGACTATGGGCTGGATGGTTAGGGTTCAGTTCCTGGCAGGGGCAAGACTTTTCTCTTCACCATAGTGTCTAGACTGGCTCTGGGGCCTACCCAGCCTCCTCTCAAGTGGGTACTGGGGGTAAAGCATCTGGAGCATGAAGCTGACTACTCACCTCCATCTAATGCCAATGTCAAGGATGGTGGATCTATACCTCCACTCCACCACATGTCTTCATGGCATGGAGTTTAATTAATTAAGCACAGGGAAATCTTGAGCTACCTTAATAGGTATTACTGCTTGTTGCTTCCATCCAAACCTTTTCCTGTATAATGCTTAAGTTGCCTTTCCATCTGTTTCGTTCAGTGTATATAAGCACTTTGTGCAATATGCACCTACATGTGATTTGAAGAGGCATAGGCCTGGTACTGAAAGAGTTTCCATAAATATTCAGCACTGTTGTTAAATATGGGGTATTGATGATCGTGCTAGTCTCGTGGGTGATGAGCGACATACTATCAACTGCAAATACTGTACAGTAAACCCTCACTAATCCAGATTAATTCAGAAGGAGAGGATTAAGCAATAATCCACGTTAGTGAAGCTAAAGGTAGTCATAATAGACAAAAAAGAGGGCTTAGAACACAAATAAATGAAAAATTTATGATATAAGTAGTACCTATGAAAATAAAAACATATCACTGTAGAGCCCTTATTTAAAAACTGTAAAAAGACAAAACATTTATTCAACGTTAGAAGACTCAGAAATTGTACTTGTTTTTTAACATAATACTGCAGTTTTGAAGAAACTGTCAAGGTTAGAAGTCCACACCATAGCTGAAGCGGTTAGTTGCTGGCTTCCCACCATGGCAGCCTGGGTACGATCCCGGGTCTGGTCAAGTGGGATTTGTGGTGGACAAAGTGGTGCTGGGGCGGGTTTTCTCCGAGTACTTAAGTTTCTCCTGTCAATCTTCATTCCACCAAATTCTACATCACCGTAATCACCTGGGGCAGGTGCCATAGGCCAATCAGTGGCCGCCATGCCGAGTGGACCCAGCTGGACTCCACCCCCACTAACTGTCAAGATTTGTCTGAACAGACAAGTGATGCATCTGCCTTCATAAATGCCATGTGTCTTTTAACATATGTACTTGATTGTGAACAGCATTTTTCATATTTTGATCCAGATTAACTGTAGCCAGATTAGTTAGGGTTTACTGTATTGCATAGAAGGGGAAACAGTTTCTTCCTGCAGTAGGGTAATGTATGAACTGTTTCTAGACAAATCGGTGAAAACAGAATTTTTGTGATCATTTCCAGATGCTCAGCTGTAATAAATTCACTGAGGCATTATATTTTTGAAGAGTTTTATCCACTGAGATGTAACGCCATGTAGTTGTTGAAAATCAACCACTGTTTCAGAGGAAAATGTTGCCTCCATTTTGAGGGTAGAAGAATAAACCAAGCGTGAAGCAGGTAGCAAACAGAGCCTGCACTTTCCCATGATGTGTCAGTTGATTTCAAACAGACTACATGTCATTATGTCTCTTCACAATCAGCATTGCAAGAAACTTAAACTCTACATATTGTATTTTTGTTCATATGACAGAAATCGTACGATGCCATGTCAGGCATTTGCATGTTACGCCCAGTGTGGATCTCCCAGGCATGTTCTCAGCAGCGAAAGGGTCGAGCAGGTCGTACACGTCCAGGCATTTGTTATCACATGTTCTCCAGAATAAGATACAAAGCTATGCAGAAGTACCACACACCAGAGATCCTTAGAATGCCATTACAGGTGAGGGGAAAAGCTAGGAGATCATGGTAGAGAGCAGGCATGTCCAACTTCAAACAGACTGTGATCGACTTTTTAGTGTCAAAACTGCCAGTGATCCACCACCCCCTCCTATTGCCGTACCTCGCTTTAAGCACAAATATTGGTAAAAATAACACAACACATGATGTTTGTTGTAAAAGCAACATACCTTGAAAGTACAGACTACTTTAACACATATATCTGAATATAATCATATTATATTAAAGTGAATTTGCATGCTTTTCACGTATAATTTCCTTATAGGCCTATGAGATCGACCAAAAATCGTCCCGTGATCAACACATCGGACATGCCTGGTATAGAGTACTTTGTTGTAATATGAGTTACATAATGTTAATTTATATTAATACTGATAATTATGAATAGAAATTAGAACTACAAGAAGAAAATGAATTCAACAAGAATACTGTATTGAATCTTTGAAGAAAATATCTTGAAAGTAAAAATAATTATACAGTTGGAAGTTCTCACTGATAGGAGCAGGTGCTGCAAAGGTTGTTGTGACATAAATTTTTTAACATGATTTTGAGTAATTGATAAATATGCTCTGTGTATGCATTTAATTTGTTTCATGAATCACTTATACTGAAGTGTTCATTGTGCAGGAACTGTGCCTGCATACAAAACTTCTGGCACCTGCAAACACGCCAATCGCTGACTTCCTGGCACGAGCCATTGATCCGCCATCATCTCTTGTCACAAGGAATGCGGTACAGCTGCTAAAGGTGAGTCAGGTTTTGCAAAAATTCATGTGAAATCTGATCTTGATTTCTGGGTTCAGTGTATGTAGCCGATTGAATCAATCAGCAAAACTGGGCTCTCATTTATGTATTTACTTATTTATTTAGTAATGTATTGAAAATTGAGGAGGAAGTCTCACCATTGTTACATAAGCATTCACATGCATTCCCATATTCATTTTCAGTCCTACATGTTATTGAATAATTTGTTGAAGTTGATGTTTAATGCCAGCTACCATGAATAGCACAAATAGTGATTTGTAAACCATCTCCTTTAACTGCTGACTCATTTGTGATGTAACTAACTCCATGGAGCTGAGCCTTACTTGAGAAGCTGCCAGTCACTGACCTCAAGAATTTCCCAACATTTGAAGGAACCCGAAGATTCATTGCCATGGTTACAAGAGTCCTCCACTGCTGCCTATCATGAGCCAGAGCAGTCCAGTCCATACTATCCCATCATATTTCTCTTTAGATCGATTTTAATATTATCCTTTATGTATAGGTCTTCTTAGTGGTCCATTTGTGATGTACTTGCATAATTTAAGTTCATGCATTGTGTTAACACGCATCAGTTCAGTGTTACAGTAAACCGACATTGCGTAATTCCAGGCCTTTCATCTTACTCATACATTAAACCCTCATTAATCTGGTTACAGTTAATCCAGATGTCAGATAATCCAGATCAGAATAAGAAAAATGCTGTTCACAGTCAAGTTCATGTGTTAAAAGGCACATGGCATTTAGGAAGGCAGATGAGTCACTTGTCTGTTCAGACAAAACTTGACAGTTTATTTAGACCTGCATTATTACGTTCAAAAAAAAAGTACAACTTCTGAGTCTTCTATTGATGAATAAATTTCTTGTCTTTCTGTAGTTTTTAATAAAGGCTTGTGCAGTGATATTTTTGTATTTATTTTCATCAGCACTACTTATATCATTAAATTATCCATTTGTGTTCCAAGTGGTTTTTTAGGGCTACCTTTTGCTTCACCAATCTGGATGATCCCTCCCTGCCAGTTACTCTGGATTAGTGAGGATTTACTCTCTTATTTTTTCATTCATTCAGTTAGAATTCAGTTAGTTCTAGAAAATGTGAATAGTATAAACTTTTTGGGTGTGGAAATAGACAGCACCTTGAGTTGGGATGTTTATATCGATAGAACCTGCAGTCGAATTAGTCGTAACTTGTTTTTATTAAATAGACTTGCTAAATTATTAGACCTAAAGGGCAGAAGAATGTTGTATTATGGCTTGATCTTCCCCTTTTTATCATATGGAATTGTAGTATGGGGAAACAGTGCTAAGGCACTTACTAAAAGAATTTTTATTCTTCAAAAAAGAGCCGTACGGTACACTGCTGGGCTAAAACCCTTAGAATCTTGCAGAGACAGTTTCATACAACTAAAGATTTTAACATTATATTCAATGTACATATTTCAAACCATTTTATATGCAACTAATAAGTGTAACTGTACGGTAAATAAACAAGTACACACTCACAATACTAGAAACAAAAATGACTACCATAAATGGGTGCATAACTTGGAACTTTATAACAGCAAACCTTCCGTTGCTGGCTGTATCTTTTATAATAAATTACCCAATAGTATTAAACAGCTTGACAATAAAAACCAGTTTATAAGGGAACTTAAGAATTTGCTCATAAATAGATGCTACTACTCAATTGATGACTATATGAATGATAAATTCTGTAATGCTGGATAGTTATATATGCTGCATGTGATATTGCATTACATATTTTGTGAATTTGTTGGTTTATAATTTGTTGTAATTTTGTTGGTTTTATAACTCGTTTCATGAGATATGGCCTACTTTAATGTAGTCTGATCTGTGGTATGGGTAAATATGAATTAATTAATGTATAGATAATTCTGAATTATTGGAATTGTTACATGTTTGATGTAAATACTCATTGCATATTTGCGCGTTTATTGGTTTTGATCTTATTGCATCTTGCTAATTTTATAATTTATTTGAGTGAATGAATGTTTTTATAAATTCTGTTATGCTGCATATTGATATATGCTAGATATGATAGTCATTACATATTTTGTGATTTTATTTGTTATGAATTCTCGCACCTTGCTAATTTTATAATTTATTACTTGTGGCATGTTCTACACCTGTGTGGTCCGATCTATGGATAGTAAATATTGAATATATGAATGTATGGATAAACTATGATATATTAGATTATGATACATGCTAGATGTAAGTAATCATTACATATCTTGTGTGTTTACTGGTTTAGAATCTACTGTATTTTGTTAATTTTATATTTTATATTATGTGACGTGTCCTATATCAATGTAATCTGATCTACAGGATGAATAAACATGAATGAATGAAAAATGAATTTAGTATTGAGGGGGTGGGTTTCCCCATGCACCACGACTGATAGTCTATTGTACGTCCCCCTTTTTAATTTCTACTGTCTCCATCCCCTACTGGTACTGGTGCTCGCTATCAGCCCCTTTCTGCCAGCGAGGTTTCTACCCTCTACTTGGCAGTGGTATCTAATAGTTAGTCCCTTTCTGTCATTGAGGTCGTCCCTCCTCTGGCAGTGGTACCCAATACTTCCCTATCTACCGGAGGCATTGGAAACTACTTGGGTGGGAAATTTTTGGCCTAATTTAGCTCAGAGGTCTCCTAGAGACATGAGGTTCTTATACGTGCCGTAAATCTATGACACGGGACCCACAGCTTGAAGTCCCTCCCGGAGGACTTCTTCCCTGAATTTTTCCGCCCTTAAAAATTCCACGACCTCGGCCGGATTTTTGAACCCGCGTACCTTGAGTCATGAGGTGGGAACGTTACCCCTAGACTACGGAGGCCGCTTTTTCATTCATAGAAGGATTCTTGATTTATTTAACTACGCCTTCAACAGCTCATTTTATGTGCTTACAGCATTAGATGGTAGAGTGACTAGTGAGCAGTGCATTGAAAAGATGTGGAAGGAATCGGTTGTGGCCTAATTCCTGGAGCAACTGAGGACAGCCATGAAATATCTCAGTCAGCTAGCCAGTTTGTGGCCTGAAACTTGAACCTGCTTCTCTTGCACAAAGCAGAAGTGCTACCAACTCACACACTACACTTGATAATTGTTCTTTGGCCCACTTTCCTTATTTAAAAAAAAAACAAAAACAAAAACAGAAGAAGGCTTGTGAGATCACCCTGCTGTGTGTCTATGTAACTGCCCCAGAATGTCATCATTTTATGTGTGGTCCATGTTATATGAAAGGAAATTAGGCAATTAGTTGTTCCCAGAACTTCTTGGTAATGCTGATTTATTGCCACCATAGGTCTGTTGCTTTTGCACCGATCATAGTTAGAAATTACTTTCCTTGTGTTTCATTTCATATAGCAAATTTGTATCAGTTTGAGCTACATATTATATCATATAAATGTTATAAGGTGTGAGTCTTCTAAGAATATTATTGTTATTTAAGTTGAACTCATTGTAGAATGAGGATCATATAGATCTGATGCAAACTAAAAGTTACAGACTTCACGGCTTAGTGTAGAGACTCAGTATTAAGTTTCATTGAGTTCTATTCAGTAGTTTTGAAGTTGAAACTTACAGACAAGTAGACACAATGTTTCCAGTGAAACTTTTGATGTAACCAAATACTGACTGTGGCATTTCGCTGTTGAATGTGATGGTTAGTGTTTTTAATATTGATGTCAGTGGTTGAAACAGATTGACAGGCACACATGCATCTTATTGGCCAGTTCCAGAACAGGAAGTTTTTTCCTTCAGATCACAATAATCTGTGTGAAACATGACTACTGTTTATAGAGTATTCAGTATAGCTCGGTCAGACAGGGCTGTGGACTGGACAGCCAGAGTTCGATTGCAAGCAAGGGTTAGAGATTTTTCTCTTTTCCACAGCATCCAGTCTGGCTATGGGGTCTACCCAGCCTCCTATCTGGGTGGTACCAGGGGTTCCTTCCCCAGGGTTAAACTGGAGATATCATGATACTGACCGGTCACTTCTACGAAGATGATGAGCTATACCTGCATTCCCCCATATCTTTTCGTGGCGTGATACTTAATTAAACATGGGGACAGCTTTACTTTCTTTACTTTTAGTTGTTTAAGGAAGACTTATTTCTAATCAGATTTTATTTTTATTCATGTCACTACTTAATATATAAATATTGTGACCATCTTCTAAATATTTTTTTTCTGTTACTTTAATGTACTGTACTGTAGGAGAATTGGAGCTGGGTTAGCTCTGTAGATATAGTGACAGGCTGTGGGCTGGATGACTTCAGTTTGATTCCTGGTGCAAGAGATTTTTCCCTACTTCACAGGGTCCAGACTGACTCTGTGGGGCCTGGTTACTGGGGGTAAAGTTGCCAGGGCATAAATCTGGCCATTCACCTCCATCTAGTGCTGAGATAAAAATGGTGGAGATGTATATACACATTGTGTTTAATTAGGAACAGGAAAACATAACCTTTTTCTTTTACTGTAGAAGAATTTGAGAAATTTTGGCTTAGGTGTGTTAAAACGAGAACATTGTTATATAATTTGTAACTGTAGCCTTACGTCATTTTCCACATCTGTCCAGCTTTTACTTTCTATTTGCCTTTTTTAGACGATTGATGCGTTGGATTCGTGGGAGGACCTGACGGAACTTGGCCACCGTGTGCTGGATCTGCCAGTTGAACCTCGACTTGGCAAGATGCTATTGTATTCTGTGGTGCTGAAGTGCCTGGACCCAGTGCTTACAATTGTCTGCTGCTTAGCATACAGGTTAATCATTTTTAAGAAACTGATTACAGTTTTGAACATTATTCAGGCAATGTAGGATTTTAGATTCTCTCAGCTGTGGTCATGAAGTGTTCTAAACATATAAATATGGTGCATGAAGAAAGAAAGCATCGGTATCTTTGCACTGCTACCTGTTGAATATGGTTAGAACTGCTTTGTTGTATAAAAGTACAGTAATTCCTTGTATAATTATTGCAGGCCAAATTTTGAAACTTATGGGTGTCAGAATGCAACTATTACACACATAGAAAAGGTCTTTAAAACTGTTATCTGTTTGCAAGAGCATCACTGAAAACATATAGAATATGCTCACAGATTCTGTGCAGTTTGAAACTATTTCGCTTAATTTATTGTGCTATGCAACATGTTTTTGGGGGCATGCGGTAGCATAGTTGGTTGAGGGGCTATGCTACAAGCCGGAAGGTCGCGGGTTCAAGTCCCGATGAGGTCATTGGATTTTATTCAATTGACCTAATCCTTCCAGCCACACTATGGCCCTGGGGTCGACTTAGCCTCTAACAGAAATGAGTACCAGGAATTAATTAAATAATTTTCCTGTGGAGTAAAGTGCGGCCAGTGCGTAAGGCTGACAGCTTACCACCATCTTTGAGCCGAATGTCTAGATAATGTGGGACCCTCAGCGTCTCACAACCCTATATGCCTTCACGGCATGGTACAGGGATAGCTTTACTTTTTTACTTTTTATATGCAATATGTTTCCAGCCAACAGAACAATTGTTCAGATTGTATAAACTTGTTTCTTTTATGATAGGGATCCTTTCATCTTGCCTGCACAACCATCACAAAAGCGTGCTTGCTTCTTGAGCAGGAAGAAATTAGCTGCCGGAACATACAGTGACCATATGGCTTTGCTCCGAGCATTCCAGGTAAGTACCGGTAGTCTGATAGTGTGATTCCATCATTTCAGAGACAACGGCAAGTGCCCTCAAGTTAGCACACATTTTCCAGAAGCCTCCAGTGTTGTACTTACAGAATGAGCCAAAAGTTCCTGTATGTAAATTAAAATACATTTCTCATACTTCAATTACAATACATGTTGGAAATGGCTCCTACCTACTTGTAGACCCTCATTTACATGTCTTGCTTGCAGATGCACACGACAGTTCAATTGGCAGGATGTTCATTATGAAATTTACGATGGCTTCCTTCGTTTGAAGGAAGATTGTCTCTGTAATACTGCGCCTTTCATTACTCTCCACATGGGGTGCAGGATCAGATGATCGTGGTGGCCAAATGTTTTTAGAAAATATTCTGTCCCTCAACACATTGTGCAGTAGCATCGTGGAAATATGAGTTGTATTTTCATTAACACTATCCTACGGGCAATTTCATCTTCATTTAAATCTCCATCAAAAGGGTGTGGTAAAAGAATTACTTCACAATAACATTTCAAGTTGATAGTGCCATTGAAGTGTTCGGGACCAATTATCCAATTTTGTGATATGGTGCACCACACACCAACCTTCTGATTGTGTAATGGTGTGTCCTTGATCTCATGTGAATTAATCGGTGACCAAATTCGGCTGTTTTGGCTGTTGGCATAAATGAAACCATGCCTGCACAGTAAAAAATGTGGCATACAGAATATCCACTGTGTTGGCAGTAATTGTGTTCTGAAACCATTGGAAGTATTCCACGTCCTCGATATTGTCCATTTGTTTCAATCCATGGGCTGATGTTGTCTTGTAGAGCTGCAGGTGCATATGCCTTGTCATCACGCTCTGAGTTGTACATATTGTGTGGGAGACCTCAGCTACCCTTTCCCTCTTCTGCTACCATCTGCTGTAAATTTGACGTTAGCCTCAAAATTTCTTTTGCAGGCTGCATCTGTCACCCAGACTGGCATTTTATTAGCCATGACTGACACACTGTTGTTCTGAAATCAGTTACAAGATCTCCAGGTTTTGTTTCCGTTAGGCCTGGCAGCGTGCACGTTCAGATGGCTGGGAACGTGTATTCTGTGAGAAGAATTTCATTTCTGCTGCAACGATGGAGATGGTGGTAGGAATGAGGATGCAGCTGCTAGGGCAGTTGCGAGCTTCGGGATTTGTTCGAGTCCGAGGTAGCGGTGACATTCGTGATCTGAACAACAATTCTGATAACTGGGCTGTTGTGAAGGCTGCCCTATGTGCTGGAATGTATCCGAACCTCCTCCGAGTGGATCGGGAACATCTCCAACTGAGAGCACTGTAAGTTCATTTATTTTAGAGTTTTTTCCAAGTTTTGAGCTTCTGATATGTGTAAAAGACATTATAGAATGTATCTCATGATTGTGTTCCTATAAACAGCAGCATGTGTCAAAACAATCTAATTCATGCATTTTTACCATATATTTATGTATTATAAGGGAGAATCAGTTCCGAGGTCAGATTTTTAGACTCGTGAACCTGACGTAAGCATCACTTACTTAACAGATTATTATTACATGTAAACATTTAAAATTTATTAGCCAAAACATATTATTCATCAAGCCAGAGACTGAAGTCAAAGTCACGTTACAAATGACGGTCAGTCAGTCAGTAAGTCTTGGCGTTGAGCCCCATCTGGGGCTTATGACCAGATATTTATTACTGTTCGACAATTATGGTTTTGTTTCTGTTGGGCACCCTCTCTGGCGAGAGGACAGGTTTGTCTTTCTCGAGTCCCATTCCGTTGGGACTTGTGACCATGTTTTACTGTCTCAGATTTGAGACTTCCCTTTTCATTGCCTCCTACAACTCGCAGGGTCACAGTGGAGGTATTCGACCCCATTTCCACATGGGTTTGAGAGACTGAAGTCTTGACAGACATCCATATATATATATTTCCATCGCAACGCAACACACAATTGTTACACTTTAATCTTTATACACGACATGGTTTCAATCATATACAGCCATCATCAGGTGTCATCATTATGCTGAACTGTTCACTGCAATGCTTGTCTTGATTTTAAATTAAAATTAAAATTCAAACTAAAGTAGGTCCCCCTGTTGGATTTCGTAAAAGCTGTTTCAACCTCCTTGTGGGATATATTAGCGTAATCTGTAGCAGTGCAAGCACGTTTTGTGTAGTTCATTGATGCTGGTGTATACATTGATTTCTTTTATATATGTCTCTTTGGGTGCAGACCCATTACCCTGCTTGTGTAGTATGTTGTTTTCTCTTGTGTGTGTGCAAGCAGTGCAGTAAACAATTTTGGATAACGAGGACACCTGATGGCCATATATGACCAAAACATGTCATGAATGAAGATTAAAGTGACTAACAATCTTGTGTTGCATTGTGGTGGAAATATATATATGCTGTAAGTAAAGTAAAGCTATCCCTGTAGCAGGCCGTGAAGGCCCATAGGGTTGTGAGACGTTAAGGGTCCCACACTATCTAGATGATCGGCTCAGAGATGGCAGTAAGGTTGTCAGCCTTACGCGCCGGCCGCGCTCTACTCCCCAGGAAAATTATTTATTTAATTCCTGGTACTCATTTCTGTTAGAGACTGAGTGAACCCCAGGGCCATAGTGCTGCTGGAAGGATTAGGTCAATTGAAAAAATCCATTGACCTCATCAGTATTTGAACCCGCGACCTTCCGACTTGTAGCATAGTGCCTTAACCACTACGCTACTGCGTGCCCCATATATATGCTGTATATCGATGAAATAAATGATAATGCAACAGGATGCTGAAATGCAGTATTAGACAGTAGCTTCTTCTCTTGACAAATTTCATTGTAGAAAAGCTAACTATCACAAAGATCTCAACCAAACTGGATCCATCAGACATCTGTTTTATTATACTGGATGCATGTCCTGGTCCACTCTCTTACCATTTGTTACCCTGACCCAGTCAGGTCATCCCTGTGAGATTCTAGCTTGTGTGCCACTTCATCAAAGCCAATCTTTGGCAGTTCCACAGCCTGAAGCTTCACATCAGGAGCACTGGAAAATTGCTAACTGCTCTGAATGCAGTCCAGCCATATGCCGTGTCACAGACCGTTCATTGTACCTTAAGGATCTCTTCAAGTGATGCCCTGGTGTTTCTTTGGCTTTCTTCTGGGTTATATTTGGTGACATGAAAATTAGTTGTAGGACTGCACTGTCAACCAGATCTTCGCTGCTAACAGGATGGAAAGTACGTTGTTCACGTTCAGTTCCCTGTTGCTTCTTACATTCCTCATTAAAGACAGAGAAGGAAGACACATGCTCCAGCCCTGAGACCAGGGTGCTGTCATCTGCACTTTCTTGTCAGAAGACTGAACTGTAAGGAGATGAATATTGGTGTACCCCTTCAGTGCCCCTTTGTTCTCTCAATTGTACACAAAAAGGGCTTTCAGCTCTGTGTCTCCTGCACTGTCATATTTTATGCCCAGTACACTTTTTCCATAAGTTTATGGTTTTTAAGATATGCAGACAATAATAAAATGAATGCATGAAAATTGTTTCACAAAATAACATTTCCCATCTAGTTTGTAGTGGTTATGGAACAGATTTACATTTTTTAATTATGTATACATAACCTCTTATAGCTGCAATGCACGGCATATTACAAACCACCCTTTAACAATCAAAATTCGGCCCACAGTTTCCAGAGTGACTGACTTGTACATACCATATGTTACAGCCCAGTTCTGAACACAACAGAGTCACTGGATGCTTTATGCATAGTAATGCTTTTCATTAGTTGGAAATGGTAATGCCATCTTTCAGAGCATTGAAAGTTTTGATCTGTAAGTATGTTGCAAAATTGTTGGTTTTTGCCCATATCATTGATCCAGTAACTGGTTTGGAAGCTGATCTTTCCTGGCAATACCGCACTTCAAATCTTCATGGTCTGCATTCTGTATTTGTTTCTGTGACACTGGTCTACTGTCACATAAAACAGCTAATCATATTGTCACATGTTGGTGACTAGACACAGACACTTATAACTTGTAATTACAAATAATTAGAATGGTCTCGCTAATTTACACACACTATAAATTACTATAACTACACCACACACCTCTTTTTGATATTCTTCTGTCACTAGTCATTGCTAGGTAGTGGCAGCTAACAATGGAGAGTCCTCATGGCCAACCACAAATTGCCATTAATCACTTGTGATGTGTGACTGAATAACTGCTGCTGCTGCTGCTGCTGCTGACCCTCATTACATAGTCTTCATGGAGACCACACATAAAACACCATGTCCTCTATTCTTGTGACAGTATCTGTTGCCCCAGAAACATGTTTAGCCTGCTGCTGACTAGCCGTGACCACCTCTACTCACACCACTAGTCCGGCTTTCAGCCATCATGTCACAGTCTTTAAAATGACAAATGATGCCAAAAAAGACTGTTCATGTAGTCCTCCTGCATTGCCGCATGATAACTTACTGACTTCACAGAGATACTACTATAAGCTTCATATTCAAGCCTAAGCACTTTCGGTACCATAATTAGGCCTTCAGTGTTAACATAGAGCGCAGTCACAAAATATTTCGCAAGTGTTGTTTGCTAGCCAAATGGTGCGATGCGGAATGAAGCAACAGAAGAGATCAGATGACATCATAGATGGACATCACTGATTGCCTAGAACGTGGGGGTATCCAACCCTGAAATCATCAAGTTACAATAAATATGGTCCTAATAGCATCATCCCTTACTTCAGCTATACAACTTTATGATGAGTTGGCCAGTGCTTTTTGATCACATTAGAACATCTGTTCATGTGAGTGCCCAGCAGTTCTGCTTGAAGCTGATTAAATTATTTGTCAGATTTTGGTGTAGAGTTGCATCTCTCAGACAAAAGAGAGAAGCAGGCTGTGGTTTAGCAGTACCTTTACAGGAGGCTACCTATCACTAGCGTTAGCAACAAAACTAAAAGTACAGCCAACGAAAAAGGTTGCTAAAAAGAATTACAGTTGGTTAGAAATCATTAATAGTAATGAAAATGTTGCAAAAACCTTCATTCTGTACTAGATTTTTCAATATGTTCAAGGTTATTAAATTTATGGTACCATTGATTTTTGTCTTCATTGAAGTTCTCATTATAAGCCACTTCCATTCAATTGTGTTCCATTTCTATATTTAACAAAATAAAATAATTCTCTGTTTCCTGGTTTCTGACTTGCTTTGCAATGATAGATTTGTATCTGCAATAAATGGACATAAAAGCCAGTCAGTATAATATATATATATAAATGAATATTTATAAAAACAGTGTGATGTAAAAAAACTTCATACTTTATGTTCCAGTGTACAAAGAATATTAAAAGACCCAGCTAAACTTTAGGACAGTATAAAACCAATAATTACAAATACAGTATTGTAATAAATGTAAAAGAGAAGGATTAGAGAATGTATGGTCCTAGAGCACATAATTAGAACAGTTTTAGTGAGAAGCTGCATTAGTGATATGCTCTAGAACTCCAACATGAGACACTTGACACCAAACCTCAATTTTGCCAAAATTGTTGTCACATGTATTTGTGAATATAGGCAGGGTTTTGGGTTGGATGATTACATTTCTTGACACCTTATACATTCAGCTCGGAACTACAGGTAATACAGCACTATCTCTGATCTACACACTTAATAGAGTTTATTATTATACATTCACTAGGTTTCTCAGCCTTCACTAGTCATATCCTGGCAGCAAATTTATAACAGTCTCACTGTAACTTCAAATCACACATGAAGTCTTCTTTGCACAGCCGAATTCCTTTCTTGCCATTGTGCTACTGCCAATTCCTGTGCTCCCAAGCTCATGTCCTGGCAGAATAGCGTCTCAACTGGTCTAAACTAATTCAAACGACCTTCTTTGGCCCTTTATAACCCTTCAGCACAGACCACTCATAAAACACAGCCTCTTTGTTGAGAAGGATTGTTTACTGGTCCACTGTCTAGCACTGGACATCTGTTGTTGCGTGCATATGCTTTTGCAGGAATGTGTTTGCTGAGTCGTTGCCTAGCAGTCTGTCTATACGTCACTTTATTATTCAGATGTAGTTAACATGTGTTTGTCTTTTGCAGGAAAGAATTCAAAGTTACATTCCACCCCTCATCAACCTTACATGACTGCCCCAAATCAGCTCGTACATCAGTGGCTGCATCACATTCAGCAACGGTGGAGGGTCTTCCATCAGACTGGCTCATTTATGAAGAGATTAGCCGCTCGGGGCGATTCTGTCATGCTCGCTGCTGCACTCTGGTCACGCCTATTACAGTTGCTCTCTTTGCTGGACCAGCACGAATGCCACTGGATGCTGTGTCAGAAGCAGAAAGTGAGCATGGCAAGTAAACATGTGCATGAAAATTAGTTTTGCAGAGGTTTTGTTAAGTTTAAATAAGAAGAGAATAGTCTTCTATGATGTGATGCTAGAACCTTTTGTCTTCCTGTCTCCTGTCTAAGAATGTAAAAATTAGATTATACAAAACAAAATTTTTGCCTGTGTGGTTTTGTATATATGTGAAACTTAACCTCTGGCATTAAGGGAAGAACATAGACTCAGGGTGTTTGAGAACAGGGTGCTGAGGAGAATATTTGGACTGAAGAGGGATGAAGTGACAGGAGGGCAGAGAAAACTGCATAACGAGAAGCTTCATAACTTGTACTCTTCTCCAAGTATAATTAGAATGAACAAGTCAATGAGGATGGGATTGGCAGGTCATGTAGCATGCATGGCTCGGAGAGAAGTACATATAAAATTTTGGTGGGAAAGCAAGAAGGAGAGTGACCACTAGGAAAGTGACAATATTAAAATGGATCTTCAATAGATAGTATAGCATGGTATGAACTTCATTGATCTTGCTGAGGATAGGGACCAGTGGAAGGCTGTTATGAACATGTTAATTAATCTCTGTGTTCCATAGAATGTTCGGAAATACTTGAGCAACTGGGCAGCAGGTGGCTTCTCAAGAAGGATTCAACCCCATAGAGTTAGATAATTAGTTAATAGACGTAATATTCCATGAGAGTTTTAATGGGCTGCATAACACAGATTGTTAGCAAAATTGTGGCTATTGTATCGGCCCATTTCTGAAAGCTAATTCCAAACCTGTATGTAAAGATAGAATTATCGTGTGAAGTATAATGTGGCTGGAACTGTTGCATGATGCATTTCTCTTTAAGTTCACCATAAAATTTATTAAATGTTCTTATACCATTGACCTTATTTTAGTGTGTAATTGGAAAGTTACTGTTATTACTGTAAAATAATGATATAGTTGCAGTGCACTTGAAGTGTTGAACACTCTACTGGTCCTCAGTGCATTGGTGTTTTGATGTTAATAGGCAGTTAATAAGTTTTCAGTGGTATTCCTCTCTCTGTGTGGTTGTCTGTTTGTTGTTGTTATGTGCCCAGGTTTGATTTAATTCATGCACTGTCTTTCCATATTTTCCCTCCGGTTGTCATTTGTGGACCGTGCTGTATGTTCTGTCTGTGAGTTTATTAATTGCATTGTTTGGAAGATGCTGGTTGTAGTTGTCAATATAAGGCTGAGTCAGCCATTTGTTGCTACCAGTATATTCTCATATATTTAAGTCTTGTAAAGTAACCCACAAAAAATTATTGAAACCTCAAAAAACAGTATTTTATTTTTTAGTCGATCATTTAATGATGCTATCAGTATGAAGATTATGTACCATCAATGATAGGATGCTTAATGAATGTGATGCAGTTAGTGAAATGAGAATCGTTAGGGGAAACTGAATAACTTCAAGAAAATCCACCTCGTTGCCACTGTGTCCACCACAGCTTTCATGTGACCTGATCTGGCCAGTGCTGTGGGAAGTCAGTGTCAAAACAGTGTGACAGTAGCAAAATTAGGAAAAAAAAACTAAACCAAAGAATAGATACAGAAGAAATAAGGTGAGGCTGTGTTCATGTTAGCTATTTATTTTCCCTCTTATTAACACAGGTTTCATTAACGTTTCAGTGGTCACGTAGTTATTGCCGTACTGTCATAAATCATTCACTTGTTTCTTTATTAATAGAACATGTTTCAGCTTCACATGGTCGTCATCAGGTACATTGTGGCATGTAGACCCATTGCTAGGCAGTGACTGCAAGATAAGCAACTATACAACAGCCATTGCTAAGTAATGATTGTGCAAACAAGCATGTTTCCATGGCAATAATGGGACTGCAACAGAGGAACTGTGTTTTCTGTTTGGTTCATGTTGAGATGTTTTGAAGAGCAAGTTAGTGACTGGGAAGTGAAGAATTTTTTGGTGAGTTAGTGAGTTCATTAGAGGACTGCTGCAGTTCAGTCATGGTGAGCCGTTTCTGTGAGAAGCTGATATCTAATGCCAAGGATCATTCAGGAACCCAAAGGAGGTGGGGGGAGAAACTGGGATAGCGCAATTGGTATAACGACTGGCTATGGGCTGCACAATCGAGTTGGAGTTCACATCCTGGTAGGGGCAAAAATTTTCTCTTTTCTCTATCGTCCAGGCCAGTTCTGGGGCTCACCTATCCTCTTGCCCAATGGATAGCGGGGACTGTTTCCCCGGAGATTAAGTTGCCATGGTGTGAAGCAGACCATTCACCTTCAACTAATGCTGAGGTCAAGAAAAGTGGATCTGTACATGCACACCCCCACACACCTTCATGGCATAGTGTTTAATTAGTTAAGCACAAGGAAGAGGAACATCTGCTATTGGAAGCTGTTACTAAGCAGCGGCAAGTGAAGACATGGCTGTGGACACGCGGGTGTATGTGCGCACACGTGTGTGTGTGTTTTGGAAGTTCATTCACTGTCTAATCCTCCAATCAAGGATCAGTTAAAATTAATTAAAAGTTGAACATACATAATTAGTTACAGTATGTTTAAAATTAAAGTAAATAATTAGTGCAAGTTTTCCTTTTTCAAAATTGAACACTATAGCGCACTTCTCATGTTTCCATATATGGTGTAGTTTTGCATTGTCAGTGTTTTGTTTTTGCTGTGTGTATGGTGTTATTGCTACGTATCTACACTAGATATGTGGTATAACATCATTATTGGGCACATGGTAGCGTAGTTGGTTGAGGCAGTATGCTACAAGCTAGAAGATCCCGGGTTCAAGTGCCGATGAAGTGTATTTTTTTCAGTTGACTTAATCTTTCTAGTGACACTATGGCCCTATGGTTGACTCAGCCTCTAACAGAAATGAATCCCAGGAATCTTCCTGGGGGTAAAGGGTGGTCAGCACATATGGCTGACAACCTAGCGCCATCTGTGAGCTTATTGTCTAGAGAAAATGTGGGAGCATCAACATCTCACAGCCCAATGGGCCTCCACGACCTGTTACAGAAATAGCTTTTGTAACACCATTATACATTACACAGTCTGCTGTGTCTGTACCAGTCATTGGCTGGTAATGGATCCCAACAATGTCATTTGTTTCCATGCTCACCTCATTACTGGCCAGTGACTCGTGCACCTAACCCATGATGGCACCAAAAATTCTATATGTTCTCTTCTGCATAAGATATACAGGGTGTTTCACGACTTGAGGGCATGACTGCAGGAGGTGATTTCCTAGGTCTTTGTGATCAAAAAAGTTCATATAAACATGTGTCCGATTTTGAACGGTTACGGAGTTATGACCGTTTTAAATTCAGAATAGAAGGCGACGATTACTGACAATAAATGGAACAAAATAATAAACCAGCATAATACATGATACATTTAAAGTATGAATGTAAAGTTAACTTCGTGAAATTGCCTTTAATTTGAATTTATTGGTGCTTAAAGCTGATTTTCGAAAATGCCGCCACCGGCTGCAACACAGGCTGCCGCTCAGTTGTGAACTGCGCCGGACATACCAACCCACCACGTCTTAGGTAGCTCTCAAGTGTCGAGATAACGAGAATGTGTTGTCTGTAGCTGGCTAAAAATAGTGACCTGCCAGCTGACAGACACGGTTCACATGAGGGCATGTACGGGAATGTAAAAACGGTCATAACTCCATAACCGTCCAAAATCAGACACATGTTTATATGAACTTTTTTGATCACAAAGACCTAGGAAATCACCTCCTGCAGTTATGCCCTAAAGTCGTGAAACACCCTGTATAAGAGTATAAGTTATGTAGTGTACACAACAATATTCTATATTCAAAAACAAAAAAAAATACTGTAAGAACATTTGCTTTTATTTTGTTTTTACAGACACAGCATGTTTTGATCTGTGGCTTCTGATTTTGGTCATTATATTTTTAATTTTATGTTTTGTTATCTAAAGGATCTTCAGTTTTAAATTTTGAACGGCATCTGGTATATGAGTTTATGCATTTGACTGGTTTCAGGACACAGTGGGGATCCTTTTTTGATGAGTCAGATGAAAAATTGGTTGCATTTCAACAGCTGAAGCTGGAGCATTGTACATCTGATGATGACGCGGTATATGTTGCGTCTGTGAAAACAAAATAAAAGCAAATGTTCATACAGTACTGTCTTCTTTGTTTTTAAATACAGAATATTGTTGTGTAGACTGCATACCTTATGTAATTTTACATATCTTATTCATAACACACATCAGGATGCACACTATTAAGATTGTCTTCTGCAACTAACTAATTCAGTTGGTCAGTCAGTTAAATTGCTGCTGGCCTTCACCACCATATTCATTCTTGGCTTCAGTCTTCTCGAGATCTGTGAACAAGATTTTTATTCTCTCCTAGATATGTACGTGTTTTGAAATGAAGCCTCCTGTTTGACAAAGGAGGGGTCAGTCTTTCTGTGTAAGCACTAAATTTGTTGGTCCTCTGCCTGAGCTTTCCTTATATAATGTTGGCACAGACCCTACAGAGAACACTGTTTTTAATCATGTATCCAACTGTTGTAGTGGCCATTGCCTATCAGTTATCTGGGCACCATTACATGTTTACCCAGCTGTTACCAAGCAATGGACAGTGATTAAGTAGTTATGTCAGAATACATATTTTGTAAGGGTACTGTTACATTTGTGCCCACAGTGTTCCGAGGAGAGGGTGGCATAGAGACTGAGAGTGACAGTGAAGCAGAGGAAATACCAGATGGACAAAACACGACTCTTAAACTTGACGAATGGGTTGTGTTCCGTGTTGATGCCGAAGCTGCACACTTAGCACTGCAACTCAGACAGAAGTGGCATTCATTGTTCTTGCGCCGCATGAGGGCTCCTGCTAAGCCTTGGTCTCAGGTAAGAATTACATATGTGAACCCCAAGTGATACATGTTATGAAAATACTGCTTCATTAAATGTATCAACAGTTTATTAAGTTTTAAATTAGTACTTTATGTGTCAGGAATCTAATTTCAGTAAGTGTTCACCTCCTTGTGTGTTATGTGACATAATATAAACTGGTAAGTGGCACATGGTAATGAAGTTGGTTGAGGCACTATGCTACAAGCTGGAAGGTCATTGGATTTTCCAGTTGACCTAATCCTTCCAGCTGCATTGTGTCCCTGGGTCAACTCAGCCTCTAATAGAAACGAGTACCAGGAATGATCCTGAGGGTACAGGATGGCCGGTGCGTTAGTCTGACAACCTCACCACCATCTGAGAACCAGTTGTCTAGAAAATGTGGGGAGCCTCAGTGTCTCACAACCCTATGGGCCTCCACAGCCTGTTACAGGGACAGATTTACCTTTTTTAAGGGAACAGTTATTGTTCAACATAAACATTAATAGGTTAAAGGTAAAGTTGTCCCTGTGCTTAATCAAGCACTTGCCATGAAGGTATATGAGGGATCAGCTGTGTAGTTCCATTCTGAACTGCTTCACTAAGTAGGTTTAAAATATCTGCTTTGTTCTCAAGAAAGCCATGTCAAGTCATTGCAAAACCTTGTATGCTTTTCCCTGTCAGTTATAGATTGGAATAACTGTATTTTGTGTGGATATACCGATTAGCCAAATCAGAAGTTTTTTCCCTGTGTGCTGTGGTATGCTATAGCTCATATTCAGTTCCAAAAGGTGGCACAGGCTTTTCTAAGGACTCATCAGTAATGTTTTTCTGGTTTCGTTCACCACATCAAGGTTGAATATGGATGGGTGTGTATAGCTTGACCTTTCTGCTCATCCACAAGGCCTGCCTGTTTCGTAAAACTGCTTAACTGAACATAAAATGGCGTTTCTTGTCCTTATAACAGATTTTGTACAGAATTTTGTCTGTATTTTATAATTTCCATTTTTTATTACTCATTTGGAATGAAAACATCTTGTTGCACAATGTAGGCCTTCATGATGTTAGAGGGTTATAATGACACCAGTTTAGTGCTCTCAGCCTAAAATGAAAATATGTGCCTGGTATCTCTGAAATTTTCAATTACATGACTGTATGGATTTGAAAAGTCAAGAAAGCTGAAATGGTTCAGTGAATAAAAAATCACTCTGTAGTAGTTTTGAGGAATTCCTAGTACATACCATCAGTGATACAGCCCTCAATCAGTTATTTATAATCAGTTTTCATGAGTTTGTCTGATTTAATTGATATTGCTAAAATGTTCTGGCATAAAAATCATGACCTTCTGGGTTGTAATGTCATGTAATTTAGTAGGTAGGTACCAGCATTATGGAAGAACCTGCTGCCTCCATCTTCAGGGTAGAAGAGTGGAGACAGACTGGCAGGTTCCTCAAACACATTGAAACCTCTCTACCAGACTACTTTGGCATGACATACCCAGCAGATCATCATCTTTGTACTTACTGTCTTGAGAATCTCATGTCTCATGACATCATTCACCATGATCGGTGCCAATAAAGTCAGTTTGGTTACAGTACTTCTGAATCAGTCACAAAATATTCTGATATCCCAGTATAATGTTTGGTTGTATCATCTCTGTCCTCCTCTTGTGTATCCACTATTTCCATCTCATTTTATACATCTTCCTTCACTTGGTCATGGCTTCTGCTTATTCGGCATCTTCATTTTTGCTGCTCTGAAGGAAGTTATTGCCCATGCATACTACATGCCCAGATGATTGTATCCTTAATTTCGTGCACTTTTCTCACAGTGTTTATATCTTCAGTTCTTGTGTGATATGCAGGTTTTGGATTTTATCATTGTGCATTTCTCAATACTGTACATAAGCTTCATTTATACTCCTTGTATTCTGCTTACACCTCTCTTAATTTCACATTTCTGCCCTGTCAAAATAATATGTTATCTCTTTTATATTCCTAACTTCATAGAGATTATTCCTTGAGAAACTGATTGTCACTAAGCTGTCCAAGAAATCTCCAAGCTTTAATAAGCTCGAAAGTTCATTACTGTTTTGAATGCCCTTCAGTGGACCCTGTCATGAGCCAGTTTAATATTCTCTGTGCCCTCTTATCTGTTCTCTGAAAATATCCAAATTCTGTCTGTGATAGTCTTGAAAAATTTCTTGCCTTTACAGTCCTCTGCATGACTTATTTGTGCAGGGTATTGAGAAGTGGTCAGGAAGGAATAAAATCCAAAATGAGGACATTAGGCAAGGTCTGAAAATAAAGTCACTGAAAGAAGTTAAGGTTACAGTTGTATATACACATTGTACAGAAGCAGATGTAGGATTACTCTGAGAGTTTCCAAAATCTAGATTTAGAGTAAGAGACCACCAGGGGGCGAAGGAGATGGTGGAGAATCAGAATGAGAGAAAATATGCTAAAGAGAGGAGCTAGCTGGAGGTCACTGATACAAGAAAAGCACCAATAGGAAGGCAGCTTTGATGGCTCACTGTGCGGTATGAGGGAGAGTCAGTAAATAGGTCACAGATATAAAATGTAAAAAATGTGATATTCGAACCTGAAAAAAACATTTATTTCTTGACATATCCTCCACCAACATTGATACATTTGTCCCATCGCTTTACCAGTGCGTTGAATTCTGCAACATAGAAGTCTTTTGACCTTTGTCTTAGCCAATTCCACATATCCGTTTTGTCATCTGCAACCTTTGAACGTCCTTGAGAGAATTTCTCGACTCAATTGTGAACCGCTTTACACAACAAACACTTCCCACCATGAACAGGGAACATTTCTTTATGAATATCCTTTGCATTGAGTCCATTTGCCCACAAACACACAACAGAATGCCACTCTTTGGTATTACACTACTCAAACTCAGTCACCATTTTGACTACTGAAACCAGCCTCTGAACATTAGCGTGCACATCTGCTACCTAGACTGTCATGAAGCTAAACTATGCTGCTACCTAGTGATACACATAGAAAACATATTACATCCATTACAGCTGATTTACTTCCATTTGTGACCTATTTACTGACTATCCATCAGACATTAATGCTGAAAGATTAAATTACTCAAGAGCTGGGCTGCACATCATGGTGATGAGAAAAGTTTCTGTCCCTACCTGGAATCAAATCCTGATTCCATCCAGTCCATAACCTGTTTTCTCCAGTCTATATGACAGTTATTTCCTATAGTTATTACGTTGCCGAGAAGATTGCAACGAATGAACTCCATGGCTTTAGTTCGCAAGTGAACTATACTGACCGAGCGACCACCACTTGTTGGCGAAGTTGGTGCCAACTTGAGGGTGTCGCGTGGTCAGCGCAATGAATCCCCACGGCCGTTAACTTCTGCTTTCTAGACCAGAAGAATGCAGCATCATTTGGAATTGTCATGGTTTTTCTGGAGGCAATATTAATGCATTTAATATTTTAATGGACATAAATTGACTCTTATATCATCACTGAAACTGTTAAACTGTTATACCGATCATCATTCCTGAAATAGTCACCTGACTGTTTACAGTGAAACATACCCCAACAATAATTTCAAACTTTCTGCATTGACTTGTGTGCACCTTAATCAGTATGATTCTATATCATCAGGTGGATGAAGCAGTGATAAAGACAGTCGTTAATGTGCTGACTGCAGAGGAGGAAGCAGTGGGTTTACAGCAGCCATCAGGAATCGGCCGGCGTCCATGGCCGTTGAGCGTCAACTATAATGTACATGGTAAGTTTAATCATATATTTTACATCATAGGTTAAGCTGCTCTCACTGACTAATTGCTGAACATCATGGTATGAAAGACAGCATCTCATAATCTTGATGTAAAACAAATTTCCTGCTGTAGTTTTTCCAAAAGTCAATAAAAATAATTTGGTAATGGCGCAACAAATTTTAACCTTTATGAGCCGAAAGACACCATATGGGGACCTTTAAAGTAAAGCCGAGTGGCCGAACGACACCGTATGGTGACTCGCAGTCCACGTGTGTGCACAGTGTTTTGAAATCTAATTTTAAGATAGAAATTCTTGTTCTACTTACATTATTTTTGGACACCAGCTTTGTAAGTAGACTGTCTTCCCTCCTGCATCTTATAACTGAATGTTGCATGTAACTGAATGCAGAGTCCGACGTCGCAATTCATGCACTTTGTCCGTATGTAACTCTGTTTTCCACGCAAAGCGCACACAGCCAACATCAGTCTCATATTAGCAGGAAGTAGGCCAGTGATGGCGAGTGGTCTCCTCTGTTCGTAACACTTATAAAACATCACAATTTCAACTATGCAACATGGCCCCATTTCGCATGGAAGAAGCCGAAATTGAGAGGGCGCTCATAAATCACACCATTCAGAATGCAGTACAGTCGATTCTGATGGGACGAGGAAGCAAGGGGATTGAGGGGATATTCCAAGAACAGTACCTCTATGTGCATAGTCCGACATACATGTATAAACAGGCAGCGTTTCATAAGGACAAAGTAGGATAAGAACTCGCCCACACTCGTGTATACAGGAAGCTGACTGACTGGAGAATGTGCAGTGAAAACATAAACTTCCTCTCCTCCTCCAGATAAGACATAGTCAGACAGTATGTCAGCAGCATGCATTTATACTGCAGAAACGTTTTGTGCAGAAGCTTTATGCATTTTTGTGGACAGACGCTCAAAATTGGGGTGAAATTTTTTTTGGAATCAATGTAACAATTTTTACAGATTCTAAAAATCCATAAATTACAATATCTGGTTCTATATTCTTTCTAGATAAAAGTAGCGTTTATTTCGTTCGTTTATCACAAAAATTGTAGAAATCACAGCATTTTCAGTAACATGATTACAATTTTTATTACTCTACACTGGCGGGCATTTAAATTAACTCCGGCCCGTGGCCATTACCGGAATTTAAATGGACCGGCTGATAAAGGTTAATTCATGTTAATGCTTACTAATTTCTTATAGAACGACCTTAACACTTTGCTGTCCAACATTTAATTGTAATTCTTAAGCTGTGGACATACCCCCACCACCAAAAAAAAATACTTTTCCACAGCTTCAAATAAAAATTACTCTGAAACTCTCAATAAGAGTCAGTTCAACATGTATTTGAGGTGATTCATCAGCTGGTAGCCAGAATGTAAAACTATGTGAAACTGTGTTTTGGTTTACACACATACTTAGGCATGAATAAACATGCTTTTGATGTGTGTCGAGACAAATTAATGCCACACACCTGTGGTACATTACTTTCTTCCTCAGAGTTGCCATTATGTCAGAAAAATCAACTTCAGACCCACTCCTTGTTTTGTAATTCATATAAAATAAATCCCCATTCTTGTGTGTATGCGCAAAGCTAAGATTCCCTAAACACAAGAATTATATGTGTCACTGACATGTTTCTGTCAATGTTGTGACAAGTTAGCTTAAAGCCAGAACTGTGAAAGGGGAAAAGACGTTCATTTCTAGGCTCCAACAACCTAAACAGTGGCTCAGATAGTGTGTTTCCATCTCAGTTGAATGCTCTGTACCTTGAAGTAAGGCATGTCCAGCTCTGCAGTTAGTGTTCTTAAATACCATTATTTAACCCTTTCACTACTGAGTAAATAAATCCTGATGTAATCCTCTTTGCTGAATTAATTTTGTAATGCTTGTTTATAAAAATAAAGGGAAATATTTAGAAATTTGAATAACACATGCAAGCTAAATCTTACATTATATGATAATGATTTTAATCAATCTAGATGTATTGTTACCACCCTGCAGATGGTCAAAGTCACATGATGTATAAACAGCAGGAGACCTGCCATGTAGTTCATCATATCTGCAACAGATGGACATATATACCTGGAAAGTTTGAACACATTCAGAAATTTTGGGAGATACGTGTTTATATAGATCGCACCACTGAGAATATGGACACACCAAGGATGCACCATTGTCAGAGTCAATGAACAAGATTGATGTTATGCTGACATTTGAGAAAAAGAAAATCTGTTGTTAGTCAATACAGGATTTTAAGTATTGTCACTTGGTTGAATGACTGCAAACAAGTATAAGAGTGTCACTGAGTTACACATTTCAAAGATCACTATAACTACAGCACACATTAAGTTGTTTCAGTCTTCACGAGCCATTGCTTGGTAGTGGCTTCCAGTGACAGACATTCCCCTTCCTCTGGGTTCCCAAACTGTCCCTGACATCAGGTACCAGATTCTCAGTTCTAACAACTATAATTCTGAACTGACTCTCTCCCTGCAAACGCTCTCTTGTAATGGCAGTTACCCCTTGTTAAATAGCCTCAGCACAGACTGCACAGAAAACACTGCTTCCAGCGGTTCTTCTGTTATTGCATGCATATCTGTTGTGGCAATCACATGACAGCTAATGAGCCAATGTTTAGCAATTGGCTGTCTCTGCTGGCATCACAGTTCTGGCTTTCAATAGACATGCCATAGTATTGCATTGTAACAGATTTTTAAATAAGATGCAAATTTAGTTATGTGCACCAATTAAATAACTGGATTGTGTTCTGTGTAAGTACATTGCATTGTCACTGGCCAGTAGCGACTGTAGTCATCTTCTGATTTTACTCAGAATTCATAGGGTTTTACTTCAGAAGTATATACCCTATAAAAAGGTAAAATTGTCTCTGTGCTTAATAATGCCATGAGGTCATGTGGAGGATTAGAGGTAAAACTTCATGTTTTGTAACCCCAGCGCTTGATGGATGTGGGTGGCAAGCTTCACACCCTGGCTGCTTGACTCCCAGTTAAAAAGCTAACTAACTCCATGGAGCTGAGTCCTTCTTCAGAAGATGCTGAGCTAGTCAAGAATTTCCCAGCATTTTATGTAATCTGGAGGTTCATTACCATATTCACAGCACCCTGCCACTGGCCCCTATCCTAAACCAGACCAGTGCAGTCCATACTACCCCATTCCTATCTTGAGATCAATTTTAATATTATCCTCCCACATATGTCTATGTCTTCCTAATGGTCTCTTCTGCCTTTCCTACCAAAATCCTATATGCATTCAGTTTTGCCCCCATGCATGCTACTTGCCCTGCCCATCTAATTCTCCTTGACTTGATCATTCTAATTATACTTGGTGAAGAGTAGAAGTTATGAAGCTCCCTCTTCAGCACCCTGTTCTCAAACACCCTCAGTGTATATTCCTCCCTTAATGTCAGAGACAAAGTTTTGCAACCATACAAAATATGTATTTGTTGGATCTGAGGCTGGGTGGTCTCTAGAGCTGGGCTGCACATGGTGGTGGTGATGAGGAAAGTCTCTGTCCCTACCTGGAATTGAATCCTGATTCCATCCAGCCTGTAACCTGGTCATTATACTGACTGAGCTATGCTTGCTTGTCAACTGGGAAGTATATATGATGTTTCTGGTGTCTCCTTTATCAAGAGTTGAGGAATCTTCTCCTGAATGTCATTTACTTGAACCTTGCTAAGCAATCTGCCATGGCACTGCTGCTTCTAGAGGAAATACTCAGATTCAGTTCCATGTGGGGACTGAGTTTTCTCCTGGCAGATGCACAAATAGTACCATAAACAAGATCACAAACACTTTGTGCCCACATTCGCCCTTCCATGTATAATTTGTTGCTGCATAACTTCAGCGTTTTGTATGGCATTATGAAACAACAGTATAAGAAATAAATTTCCTGCCAGAGCAAGGAAGGAAATTATGTTGTTGTGTGTCACTTGGCGTACTTTAACTTTCGGAATTGTTACATTTTGAGCCATCAGTCTTGTACCAACAGAGATGACTGTACTGTTTTTACAAACAACCCATGCTGTATACTTTTCTGAACTTGTTTATTTTGTGGGCTTATACAAATACTGCAAAATGTAATGCTGTGAAAACACCATTGAAAAAGTTGATCTCTGTGTCTCTTTTGACTAGGGAATGCCAGAAGCAGACTTCTGAAACTCTTCCCACTGATGGGTGGTGTGAGCAGACAAGTTTTTTTTAATTGGCTTAGCCTGCCCCGGGTGATTATGATGATAGAGAATTTGGTGGAATGAAGATTGGCAGGGAAACCAAAGTACTCAGAGTAAACCCGCCCCAGCGCCACTTTGCCCACCCCAATTCCCACTTTACCGAAGCAAAGAAGAGTGGATAGACTGTATGTGCAGCTTGTTCCTTGTGAGATCCCTTTCCCCCTCTGCAGGCTACATAGCAGTGTCAGCATTCCCTGACCAGACAAGCTACACTTGATTACTTCTTTTAAGCAGTAAGAATCACTCATAGATCCATAATTGCTGACATTTGTAAGTAAGAGTATGTTTTCAATTAATAGGATCCAGGGCATCCACGGAAGAAGTGGAAACACAAGAGGAGAGCATCTTGGGCGGTGCTGAAAGCAGAACTGGCTTCAGGCAGCAAAAGAAATTTGAATATGCACCAAAAGTGACCTCTGATCATGGTGAGAAAGATATTCAAGTCCCCACAAGGTATTGCTTTGAGTGGATAAAGAATTGTCGTGTGGTTCCACCTTCATCTGTTATGTAGTGTTGAGGTTCCCGAAGTGCCGTGGAATTGAGTCTAAGCTACAAGTGGGATTCTTAAGCTTTGGCTTAAGCACACTATTCGTCCTTAAGGAAAGAAAGTGGGCTTACAAGAAATATTCTTAGTCCACATACAGTGTTACTTTGTGTGCTAAGAAATTGTATTAGTCTCCCATATTTAACTTTTCTAATATTTAGCATTTAAGTTACTGAAGTGCCCTAAGGATAGGGATGTGATGCTTGAGGTTTGGTTCTTAACTCACTTTCCTTTGTTAAGGAAAGAAAATAGGCTTATTACATAGGTTGTCCAGAAAGTAAAGAACGTTGCTCATAGCGCTAGCGTGGGTCAATGGGTTGCACCATTTCAAGGTTAACTGGCCTCAGTAGCCTTTTAGTAATAAGCCAAGTGGATGATGCACCAATTCTGTCATTTTGCAGTTATTTTGTAGTACTTGAAAATTGGGAATCCCACCGATTGTGAAGTACGAGCTGTAATTCAGTTTCTGAATGCACAAAACACCATGGGAATGGCCCCTGTACAGCATCTGAACTAAAGAAACTACTTTTTTGTTTTCTGAATTATTGTGCAGGATAATTTGGGTTAATATTTGAATTTGATTTTCAAAGTCTCATCTCAGGTTGTACTGTTGTACTCTTTTAGTATTGTTGAATTTGTTTACCTTTATTCTCAATAAAATAATACCTGTATGCCCATTACTCTTGAAATACTTGCATTTGCCTCTTCTAATTTCTGCTCCTTCATTTTACTTTTGTCAGTCATGGATTGGGAGTGGGGATAGCATGGTCAGTATAGTGACCGGCTACGGGCTGGACGACTGAGAGGTTGGAGTTTGAGTCCTGGTAGGGTCAAGAATTTTCTCTTGTCCAAGCCATCCAGACTGGCTCTGGGGTTCACCCAACCTCCTATCCAATGGATACCAGAGGCTCTTTCCCCAGGGTTAAAGCGGCCGGGGCGTGAAGCTGACTACTCACCTCCAACTAGTGCCAAGATCAAGAAAATGTGGATCTGTACATCCACCCCCCCCATATGACCTCATGGCTTAGTGCTTAACTAGTTAAGCACAGAGACAACTTTACCTTTTACCTGTACCAGTCATGGATTATATGCGTATTTAAGAAGAAAACAGTTTCACACAAAACACACAGTCTTTTTAATCAGTATATCATATTTCAGTACATCAGTTTGCTAGAGGTGACTTTCCTTGAGTACAAAGGGGGACCCAAAAATAACTGGAAACAACCTGTTGCGCGCGCATGCTTTGTAGTTACGAGTTGTGCTACTAGGTGATGTTAGCTGGGGGTCTCCCGCGACTGTTAGTGAGCTGGCGTCAGTCTGAGTTAAGTGGTTTGTCTGTGGTGCTCTGTTGTGTGCGTTCCTGTTTCAACCCTTTGGCGATTAGTGAGATGGCCGACCAGAAGGAACAAAGAGTGTGCGTGAAATTTTGCTTTCTGTTAGGGAAAACTGCACTTCACTCTTCAAGTCGCGGCAAACATTCACACGGTTTTCTCTTCGGTCATCTCCAGGCAAGCGAGGAACAAATTTTGCAGACGCCCGTCTCATGTGCAAACCTTCGGTTAAAATTCGCTGGACCATGCTCCATGAGATGTTCATTTCCTCAGAAAGTTGGTCAATGGTCTTTCGACGATCTTCATCAATTTCACACACACTCTTTGTTCCTTCTGGTCGGCCATCTCACTAATCGCCAAAGGGTTGAAACAGGAACGCACACAACAGAGCACCACAGACAAACCACTTAACTCAGACTGACGTCAGCTCACTAACAGTCGCGGGAGACCCCCAGCTAACACCACCTAGCAGCACAACTCGTAACTACAAAGCATGCGCGCACAACAGGTCGTTTCCAGTTATTTTTGGGTCCCCCCCTCGTATTTTTTAACTTAGAAACCTGTAGGACAAAAATAAAATCATATTTGCAGGATCTTGGCACACAGACGCGGTGTACTAAGCAAACTAACAGCGTAGATCAGAACTTAAATGTAAGAGGCTGCTGTGATAATTGAAATATTCCTTTTACTGGCATCACAAAGAAAAATGCCTTGATGCGTAATACTACTACTGAAAGCAGTGGTTGATTTTATTTGAGGCACCAGTAGCCAGATCTCTCATTAATCCAAGGATATTGGCCAAAGTTTAATAAAACAGTTAAATTTTTGCTTCCTCTAGCCCCCTGTTCCTGAAGCAGCAGTTGCTCAGTTCTACTGTGTGGGTGAAACATAACGAGGAATTGCTGCAGTGCTGTTGCGTGAGCTGAAGTTTCTTCAGATGCAAACATTCCCACTGAATCAAGGTACTTTGAGACCACCAACACAGCAGTTAACAATAAAACTGATATCAGAACGTGTTAATACACGTTTTATTAGGTATATGCAGGGTACAAGTATGTTTCAATCATATTAGGTCATCGTCAAGTGGTATGTGATTGTATACATCTCATCATTGAATTGTTCAGCTAAAATTGATCCATTTCTACACACAAATTGTCATATATATATAATGACAANAGAGTGATCAAGTAAAGGAGGATGAGATGGGCAGGGCATTTAGCATCAATGGGGGAGAAGAGGAATTCATATAGGATATTGGTGGGAAAGCCTGAAGGAAGGAGACCTCTAGGAAGACAAGGACATAGGTGTGTGGACAATATTAAAATGGATCTTAGAGAGATTGTGTGGGATGGTATGGACTAGATTGATCTGGCTCAGGATAGGGACCACTGGAGGGCTCTTGTGACTATGGTAATAAACCTTTGGGTTCCATAAAATGCTGGGAAGTTCTTGAATAGCTTCATAATTGGCAGCTTCTCAAGAAGGGCTCGGCTCCATGAGTGAATATGTGTATGTGTGTATTATGATATATGTCATTTATTGGGTGTGGAAGTTAGGTGACTAGGTATTGGGGAAAGGGGATATATGTGCATGTTGTCGTTTCCATATTATGTTGTTAATGTATCTTGCTGTTGTAGACATCTAGTGAAGTGGTGTACATATATCATGAATATGTGAGGTTACATAGTAATTGGTCCTTCCCAGCAAACTTTGTAGATGTAGAGTAGCCTGTTAGTATTCAGTTATGGCTTGTAGAGTTGCTGTAATTCATGTACCACCTGATGATCGAAACATATAGTGGTTATACCCAATAATCAATCATTAACGTCAATTTTTATTGTTCATTGTTGTGTTGATGGTCACAAGGTACCTCGATCACAGTTATACACAACAGAATGCAAAAAATAAAGATTCCCACAAAAAAGCCAATCTGAGAATGTCTGAATAGAAATTTAGTGAGAATTTATATACCTTTGTATGGTGTCAACATATGAAATGAGCAACATTTATTGTGAGCTGTGTAGTATTTGTATTTGGTGACTCACATAAAGGACACTGGTGGTCACAATCCACGTGTCACTACCATAATTTCATATATTTTCTTGGCCCAGAAATATGAGATAGGCCTCCTGTTTTTGGAATTGAAATAAAGGTTAAAAGCCTTCATCTTATAGTTGGTAGGTACAGTTTATTTAATATATTTTAAAACACTAAATTAATCATTGCATTTGGAATTAGAAGAAGTGAAATGTCTGAACCCATGAAAATGATAAGCTGGTTATGAGGTCTCCATACAGGTGAACGTTCAGATACAGGGAGCATCAGATCGTTTGGCAGTGGAAACATGAGTGAAACCCCATCTCCTACGCCATCCCACGGAAGTGCTGGGGATAACACGACATTGGCTAGCAGCCCCACTGCAGGGGGAGGGCCAGTTACTTCACGCTACTTCATCATTAAAGCAGGCAATTTCAAGACCATCGAGGCTTCTCTTAGTCGTGGTGTTTGGGCATTTACTCCCAATACAGAAAGAAAAATGATACGTGTATTCAAGGTGAGGCGCATCTAAAGATTTAAAAATATTTTTAAACTTAAATCCTTTCTGTACATATGTAAGATTTTAGGTTTTCACAGTAGTGACTATGAAGAATGCCATTTTCTGTGATGTGGCACCACCGTGTAGAGCTTGTGTGAACCCACATTCTTCCAAAACGTCGGTTCACATAAGATCTACATGTTCCAGAAGATGGCATTCTTCCATTCTGCACAGTTTATATGTCTATATATATAGAGATGTCCAGAAAAATGTACTCACTCTTTGATAGTCAATATCTTTGGAACAAAATGACATGTAGTTACAATTCTTGCGTGGAGAGAGGGAGAGTCATTGTATGTGTTCGAAGTGACCACCATCAGCAGCTAAACAGCCTTGATGCCGCCGAACTGCTGAGTGAACTATGGCTGTCAGTGTGTCCAGTGTGATGGCTGCACACGACGCTTCAATGGTTTCTCGTAGCGCGTTCAGTGTAGCTGGCTTTTGTTGATAAACTTCATACTTCAAGGTTCCCCGTAGGTAGAAGTCGAGAGGTGTTAGGTCTGGAGACCGTGGTGGGTACTCAGTAGCACCTCTTCGACCTATCCGTCGTCCAGGTAGTGTCATCCAAGTATGCCCTGACATCTCATTGGTATTGAGGTGGAGCACCATCTTGTTGTAGGTAAAATATCTCATCTCCAAACAGCTCTCAAATGGCAGGGAAAATCAATGTCTGAAGCATATTGAGATACACCTGACCAGTTATGGTACATTCAAAGAAGAAAGGACCAATCAAACTGCGCAATGACAGATGATGCACATCATGAACAGTACCGTCAGCTTCAAATTTATCCCAAATACGGGAATTTGTTCGATGTGTTGGTGGCTGAGTTCCAAACTCATTCTGCCATTGTCGTTATACCTCTTTAATGTTTTCGTACTTCCAGTACCACCTCAATACAGCCTTGTGTTGCTCAAAGAACAACCTTTCAGCCATTGTTGCTGCTGTCTTGTGCTCACAGCGTGCATGCGGCATGACACTCACGTCACTCGTGTGACCTTCGCCATCTGTTGAGAAAACATTACACTACACCATCACACAAGAATTGTAACTACATGTCATTTTGTTATTGACTATCAAAGAGTGAGTACATTTTTTGGACCCCCCTGTATATATAAATACAGGGTGTTCCTAAAAGAATGGTGGGGTTTTAGATACGTATATATTTCGTATTTCTTACCGTGTACAATCATAACATGTGTCAATTGGAAGCTTAACTGTCCAAATTTTATGTAAATCCATCAAAGTGCCTTTATGTGCGCACCTTTCGTTACCCAGCACACATCAATGCGATAGTCGAATTCCTGCCACACCCGCTGCAGCATTTCAGGTGTGATGGTCTCCACAGCACGATTGATTCTGTTTCGGAGATCCTGGAGCGATTGGGGCAATGGGGGTACATAAACCATGTCCTTCACGTACCCCCACAAGAAGAAATCACATAAAGTTATGTCCGGGGATCAGGGTGGCCACAGGAGAAAGGGGCATCTTCACCTGCAGCACATCCAGTCCATCGTTGCGAAGGACCAGATTAAGCAAACCTCTCACAATTCTATGGAAATGTGGGGGAGCACCGTCCTGTTGGAAAATGTAGTCATTGGAATCAAATCTCAGCACGCAATAGACCTCCTGGGTCGCCATCTTACATTCACGCCTCCTAACTGTCGGAAATGGAACTAGGAAAGAGCACGATATACAAAATGAAAATTTGAGAGCCGCGTTATGAGTACATATACGTTTTGCTTTTCATCACCAAAAACTGATGGAGATATACGGTAATGAAACCCCACCATTCTTTTAGGAACACCCGGTATACAGGGTGTCCCAGGAGGAATGTGCCAGACTTCGGGAGGGTGTTCCTTATGTTAAAGTATGCCGATATAACCCAAAACACCTATGTCCAAAATTGAACGGTTACAGAGATAATGGCCTGAGAAAATTGTGGTCTTCTGGCGGGTCCACGCACTGTACCTGTCAGCTGAGAAGCATTATCTATGTTTGTCCTTGAGTTTGGTGATTCACACTAGCCGTAAGCTTATGTGCTACCTTCAGGGTACGTTGCGGCTGCGTTGTGAATGGTTGGTAAATTAGTTTTGCAGAGTTGCTGAAATGCCTTTTGTGTTTTCACACGTGGAATATTGTGATATGCATTTTGTGAATGGATTTTGCGGTGGCAATGCACATGCTACTGTTGAAGAATACCAAAGGCGTTTTCCCGATTGAAGGATTCCATCTCAAAGTGTATTTACGCGAATTCACCAGACATTGCGTGATACTGGTTCTCTTCCGAGTGTTCCTGTGCACCCTGAAAGTGAGGATGTATGAATGAGGAACACGCGAGAGAACATTCTTGAGATGGCAGAGAAGTCCGCGTCTGTCCACTTGTTGAATGGCCTCTCGCATCAGCGTAACACGTATGCAGGTGTGGCGAACTTTACATGATGAAGAGTTGTATCCTTACCATGCTCAAAGGGTAAACCATCTGGAACCAGGCGACCATGCTCAGCGTATGAATTTCTGCCACTGGATAAAAGCTCATCCCCGAACTGTTAAGCGTCATTTTATTCAGTGATGAGGCGTCTTTTATCCTGGACGGTGTAAATAATTTACAAAATGTGCATACGTGGTCCCATAATAATCCACATGAGATAATGGAACAAAATTCCGAAAGAGATTTTCTGTGAATGTATGGTGTGATGTGCTTGGGAACAGGTTGTTCAGACCTTTTGTGTTTCACAAAAATTTAACTGGAAACATGTACGAAGCCTTTGTGAGGAGTGAGTTACCATGTTTGTTGGAAGACATTGCAGCTGGCGGAGGACACTTTGAACAATTAGTATAAAGCGGGTACTGTATTTTAGTAGTTATGTAGTCGGCTTATACCAGAATGCACAGTCAGCCATGTTACGTCAGCGCTTGCCATGCATGTGTCATGTATAATGCTTGGAAACCTAAGGACAACTATGACATGTCGTGCGAGTTTTTTTGTAGTTCAATTTAATGGNAATGGCTTCATGTCACTCAGAAGTTTAGTTTGATGTTACGTACATTATTAACATTACAGAAACCACATATTCCTGCCAGTTTTAATATGTATTTGCTAATCAACAAGTGTATAACACCTGTCAAAGTTTCACACTTCTCTGGCCATTATCTCTGGAACTGTTCAACTTTGGACATAGGTGTTTTGGGTTATATCGGCATACTTTAACATAAGGAACACCCTCCCAAAGTCTGGCACATTCCTCCTGGGACAGCCTGTATAAAGTTGGTGGTTTCTGAAAGGATCTGACAACGATGCAACGAGGCTTGTGGTGGCCATCATTTGGAATTCTAAAGAACACAGTGATTGCAATTATCTCTTTCTAGTGGACCCAGCAGAGTCGGTGTCTCCCACCTGAAGACAGAAACAGATCAAGTTTCCAAAACATTGTGTTCTTTAGAATACCAGATGATCGGCAAAGTCGAAAAACCAAGAAATCCCAAGGGATAAAGTGGGTTTTTATGCTTCTGGCTCAGTGTCACCCATTTTAATATTATAGGAAGGCAAGCGGGTGGTACTGGTGTTCAGTGTGCAAGGCAGTGGACACTTTCAAGGATATGCACATCTGAGTGCAGATAAGCCAGACTCCACAACAGGTACAGCAGACCAGTGCTTTGAACTGAGTGGTCCTAACCTCAGTCCGCCACTCCCTATTGAATGGATTAAGCGAGCCAACATCCCCTTTCAGGCAACTCGCCATTTACTGAATCCGTACAACGAGAACAAAAGAGTTCAGACAAGTCGTGATGGACAGGTAATATCACTGTACAGTATAATTATTTTTACCTGATTTTAAATATCAGAATTAATCAGAAAATAACATACGTGGTGAAATCCAAAAGTTCCTGAAATATATTAATAAAAACTAATACATCTTACCTGGATCTTATTCAGCACCATCACCTTCAAAGTAGTCTCCTTGGGAGCGCATACACCGATCCCAGCATTTCTGCCACTTTTGAAATGCATCCTGGAAGTCTTTCTTTGTTAGGGTGTTTAGTACTGTCTGCATTTCTGCTTGAATTTCCTCAACTGTATCAAATCTTCGCCCCTTCAACTTGATTTTCATCTTGGGGAAGAGAAAGAAGTCACATGGAGCTAAGTCTGGTGAGTACGGTGGGTGGGGAACAACTGCCATCTTGTTTCTAGCCAAAAACTCCTGCACAATGTAAGCCGTATGTGGTCGTACGTTGTCATGGTGGGGTACCCAGTCGATCATGAGCCACTTCTCTGGACGTTTTCTCCTGATGTCCTCCCTCAAATGCCTTAGAACATCGCGATAGAACTCTTAATTGACTGTCTGACCAGGATGGACGAACTCCTTATGAACAATCCCGTCAATATAAAAAAAAACAGATCAACATGGACTTAATGTTGCTCTTGTCGAGCTTTTTTTTTTTGGCTGAGGTGAAGAAGGGCTCTTCCATTGCGACGATTGCTGCTTGCTTTCAGGGTCGTAGCCATAAACCCAACTTTCGTCACCAGTGACAACCTTCGAAAGAAAGTTTGGATCCTCTTGAAGCTGTTGTTGAAGTTCCCTGCAGACTTCCAAGCGCTGCTGCTTCTGTTCATTTTGCGGCAGTCGTGGCACAAACTTCGCCGCAGTCCTCCTCATGTTCAGTTCCTCTGACAAAATTCATTGACATGTACCATAACTTAGTCCCAAGGTGTTACAGAGGTCTTGGATGGTCAGTCTATGATCTTGCAGAATCAGATCCCTAACTTTTGTGACATTTTCTGGTGATGCCAGTTGACGGCCGTCCCAAATGTTCGTCATCATCAGTCGATGTTCAGCTTATACCAGTCATAAGTTTGTGTCTGGCCTAAACTGTTGTCACCAAAAGCATGCTTCAACATTTGGTGTGTTTCTGCAGCAGTTTTCCCAAGTTTAAAACAAAACTTTATACAGACACGCTGCTCTCTCAGGTCAGCCATCTCAAAACCGCAAACTCACGGAAACACAACAATGGAAATACGTTCACCAACAATAAACCCAACCACTCAACTTGACGCCGCTTTCCACACTGATTCAAGAAGGGTGTGTGGGGAGACACCTAGCAGAATTTTGATGTATTCATAACCATTCACGTGCAAAATTCAAATTTCGGGAACTTTTGGATTGCACCACATTTTAAGCAGAATTATGTTATCATTCTGGTAGCGTCCATTGCCCCTGTTGTTTTGTTCCCACATTTTATATTTATTTTATATCATCTTAGTCTTAAATCTGTTATAAATTGTTTATTTTTTCTCATGCAAGACTTAATGCTTTAAGTCTATGAGTGTTCAATGGTGTGAAGAATGGTGAATTGGAAGGGATTTGGAAGGAAGCAGTTATGGCATAATGAAGGTACTGCCCTGGCATTTACCAGGAGGGACTGAACAAACCCAAGCAAAACCTCAGTCAGGACTGTCATAAGAAATTCCAAAAATTAAAATTTCTGCATTTTGCTTAGATATGAGTACAGCTATTGTATTTACATAATTTTTATACTGTGTTCAGATCATGGTGTACAGGTTTGATCTGTCAAATGTGGCACCTTGGGACCACGTTGGAGTTAGACCAGACATAACCACTGGTGGTCAGTATATTATGTTAACAAAACACCTACATAAGCCAACATAACATAATATGTTAGTGCTGTTACAGAGTTTTAAGGCACTGATACAAGGAAATGAGTAAAGAAAACATAGGAAGATGAAGTGGGACAGTACAGCCACAATACTACAAACTAAAACAGTGCATTTTGTTAGATACAGTTTAGTATTAGGAGCTAGGATAATGCATTTGGCATAACAACTGGCTGCAGGCTGGATGACTGAGGAGTCAGAGTTTAAGTCCCAGTAGGGCCAAGAATTTTTACTTATCCATGTTGTCCAGACTGGCTCTGGGGCCCACTCAGCCTCCTATCCAATGGGTGCCAGGGACTCTTTCCCTGGGGGTAAAGTGCCTGGGGCATGAAGCTGATCACTCACCTCCAACTAGTGCCAAGGTCAAGAAAATGTGCATCTATACATCAACCCCTGTACATCTTCATGGCAGTGCTTAATTAGTTAAGCACACAGATAACTTTACCTAACCTTACTTTACAGTTTACTAATATGATATGATCTTAAAAACATATTTTGTTAATGTAGTACTCCTTAAGTGAATGGTAATTGCATCAAGCATAACCAGTTTAATGTAAAAATACATAACTACACTATGTGTTTAGGTGTATTTATTATATACAGTGTGTTTTCAAATTATTGTCGGGGGTTCCATGGCCTATGAGTATAATTTTCAAACCGGAAACAACAAAGTATAACTGCTTACAGAATATGACAGTGTAACTCAAAAAGTTGAAATTTGGAGGTAATAAAACTCTTTGAATTACACTTTCATGTTCCATGAGTAGTTTTATTTTCACTCACTCTCACTCATGGAGCTGATCCTTTCTTGAGAAGCTGTCAATTGTGCAGATACTGAAGAACTACCCAGCATTTTATGGAACCCAAAGGTTCATTACCATGTTCACAGGAGCCCTCCACTGGTCGCTATCCTGAGCCAGACCAATCCAATCCATATCATCCCATCCTATCTCTCTAAGATCCATTTAAATATTGTCCACCGACCAACGCCTTGGCCTTCCCAGTGGTCTCTTTCCTTCTGGCTTTCTCACCAATATCCTATATGCATTATTCTTCTATCGCCCATTCTTGCTACATGCCTTGCCCATCTAATTCTCCTTGACTTAATCATTCTAATTATACTTGGCGAAGAGTGCAAGTTATGAAGCTGCTCGTTATGTAGTCTTCTGCAACCTCCTGTCACTTCATCTCTCTTTGGTCCAAATATTCTCTCTCCTCAATACCCTGTTCTCAAACACCCTCAGTTCATGTTCCTACCTTAATGTTGGAGACAAGTTTCACGCCCATTCATAACCACGGGAAAAATTATAGTTTTGTATATTCCAATTTTTATGTTTTTCAATAGCAGACGAGAAGACAAAATGTTCTGGACTTCATTTTTTATTTGTTCACAAGATCTACATTTGGCGATATTGCCTCAGATATAGAACCCGCCCGTAGTTTAAATATCCACAAAGATAGTGTCATAACAGAATACAGAAAGTACAAATATACAAATGTAAGTTTAAAAACATCCAGAGAACCACATTATATCAGAAAACATAATAACAATTCACCATCATAACCGTAATTATAAACACGCAAAACACATGATAATGCCACCAATTTAACTTAAATTTCATCAATACAATTTAAGGTATCTAAAATATCTTTGAGGACAAGGTCCCATGATATACAAACAACTTATAGTACTAATAGATACAAAATAAAACATTTATTCACAGTTCATTAAAATTGGTTCCAGATTTAGTCATATTGCAATTACGATTTAAATCTTGTGTCTTAAAAATATAATATAATATTACATTTAATCCTTATAGTTAAAGTATTCGTCCATGGTATAAAATGAGTGAAGAAATAACAACATTTTTAATACCAATTTAAATTATATATNGAAAATACAACACCCAAAACAAATTTGTTCAGCATTTTGAGATATCTCCTTTATTACGGCTGGTAAGCCATTAAACACCTTTATTCCTGCATAATAGGCCCCCTTCTGAAAAGCTGTCAGTTGAGATAGCAGTTGATGTAAATCATGTTTTGCCCTAGTATTAACATTGTGAATGGCAGAGTTTGTTTCAAAATAATGTCTGTTATTGATCACAAATAAAGAGAGGGAATAAATATATTGTGATTTTAGTGTTAAAATTTTTAGTTCTCTAAAATGTTTCCTACATGACTCTCTACTTGTAATCCCCTTAATTATTCTTATAGTTTTCTTTTGTAATCTAAAAATTAAGGCACTATGACAAGTATTTCCCCAAAATATTATCCCATAGGTCATGATTGAATGAAAATAAGCATAGTATACCATTCTTACTACTTCCTGGAACAGGAGAGGCTTTATTATTCTTATTGCATAGCAGACTGAGCTTAGCTTAGATACAATTAAGTCTATAAGAACCTTCGATGAGAGAGACTGAACCGTAGCAAGCATTACCGAAGTTCAGTCTCCTTAATTTCCTCCTGAATCAGATTTTGATTTGTTATCATCATTCCCAATATCCAACCTGTGCCACATTTTCAAAACATCTCTTTCCGATCTTTTTGTCATGGTTTTGCTCTGCATTTTGGTGATGAGACAGCAGCACATACTTAGTTTTCTCTGTGTTTACTTCTAGACCAATCTCCTTATTAGCATCAATTAAAGTTTCTGTGTTTTCTTTATGGTATCTATATTATCACCCAGTAGATTCACATCATCGGCATAGGCCAACTGCTGATGTGTCCCATTTAATTTCAGTCCCACGTGGTTTCCCTGGACCTTCCTAATGGCATATTCTAAAGCAAAGTTGAAAAGGAGTGGCAATAAAGCATCTCCTTGTTTTAGACCATTCTGGATAGGGAAATTATCAAACAGATGTTTACCTATACGAATTTTACCATACATTCTTTTAAACACTTTAAACAGCCCAATTAGTTTCTTGGGTACCCCAAACTCTGTCAGAATATTGTACAATACTTCCCTCCTAACTGAATCATAGGCTTTCTTGAAGTCTAAGAATAGCTGATGTAGTGTCTCATTATGCTCCCATTTTTTCTGCAGTATCTGACAAATGCAAAAGATCTGATCAGTAGTTGATCTCTTATATCAAAACCCACACTGATGATCGCCAATAATTTCATCTATGTATGGACTTAACATTGAGAGAGAATATTGGACAAAATTTTGTATGAAGTTGATAGCAGTGATGTCCCCCGATAATTACTACAGTCACTTTCATCACCCTTCTTGTGAACTGGTACAATAATAGACTCCTTCCACTGATAAGGCAATTTTTCCTTATGCCAAATAGAAGTAATTAGATTGTGGATCTTAGAACATAATATTTCACCTCCTGCTTGAATAAGTTCTGCCGGAATTTGATCGCTACCTGGCGATTTATACCTTTTCGGTTTTGCAATAGAATGTCAACGTCAAAAGGGCTAGGATCAGGTACTAACAGCTCAGCTAAATGTATTTCTATCTGTCTAACATACTAAGAGTAGCTCTTCCACCTATTCAAATGCTGTGGGAATCTGCAAGCAGATCAACATTCTCATCCTTCACTAAGTTAATGCTAGGCTGATAACCCCTCTTAAAGTCATTTATTCCTCTATACAGGTCTCTAATGTTCTTGTTCTTACTGTTCATTGCAAGCTCGTCAATTTTGTCTTTCAGATATTCCCTCTTTCCATTCCTGAAATGCCTGCAGGTTTCACGTCTTATGTTCAGATTAGCCCCCATTTGTTTCACTTGGATTCAGTAACCACTGCAATTTGGCTTGACTTCTTTGGGCTAATAATTTTGAGCATCCTTCATCGAACCATGGCTTATGCTTCTTCTGTTCATAATAACCGAGACTGTCTTTGGCAGAAATTTTTATATTCTCTCTAATAGTTTCCCGAGCTCTGTTAACATTCACCTCAGTGTCTAAATTTTCCAAAGCCGCAAACATGTTTGATATTTCAACATGATACTGCTCTTTACCCTCTATCTCATTTAATTTCTTGAGATGCAGTTTTATTTTGGTGTTTGAAAATTATAGGCCACAGAAACCACAACAATAATTTAGAATCATCCTGTATTTTTATATTAAACTGCTTACAATTGATGGAATTGCTCTTCACACAAGTATCAAGCAGCGTTATGGACTGAGATGTTTCTCACCAAGACGGTACTGCTTCTTTGTTTCTTGCAGGAGATTGAACCCAGTATAGGCGAGGCACTATGTAATCTATGGGACAAAATACCTCCATTTGTGCCAAAGTCCACTTTCTTTGGTTCACTCAAGACATCTCAAGATATGCCTGAAACTGCAGCACCATCTAAGAATATGGGATATTACGGACGCCCAATCAGGGGGTATTCGTACTTGGGATGTGGCCCAGGTTACCAACATTATAACATGAACTATGGTCACCGTGGCCAACATCCAAAGTAAACAAGTGTAGTGCTGTGTATTAATGAAGAAGGGTGATGTCCTTGATTTTGTCAGAACTGTTCACACTGGAATCTGTGGACTGAATGTGCTCATTGTTACAAATGTATAAAGTTCTGCTGCTGTGTGTAGTGTGATACATAAGTTTCTCTTGGCCTCTGGAGGCAATACTAGGAAGATGTGGATATTCTTTTGGAATGTGATACCACAAGAAGAGATTGTAAATTTGTTATAAGTTGTATTCTTTTACATTGTGATATCATAAGAAGGGTGGTAAGACATCTTAGAATTAGTCAGAAACAGCATTTTATGAGACTAAATATCATAGAATGATTGTAACACATTTTAAAATGTCTGAAAGTGTCTGGATTGCAAGATTAGTGAATTTAGAGATGCCAGCTGCTTTAAGTGTATCCATAGTCAGAAGTCTTCAGGATTACAGCTATGTTCAATACTTGTTTCTTAGATTTAAATATTGTTACCCATATTTAACATTGTCTTTTTTTGAAACAAATTTATAAGTATTGCTAGTTTAAACTGACTACATGTCAAACTTAACATATTACTGCATCGGCAGTTTTCACTGGTATTTATTCAATAAGAATAGCTTTAGTGTAGAAAGGAACAGTGCAGTCGTCACCTTTGAAGAATGACTAAATAAAATGACATAACATTTGACTTCTTGCTTAATTTGTAGAGGTTTTTTCAAGGGTTGGACTGATACTGAAAAGTGAACCATGGCTAAAAAAGACTGTTAATCCTTTGAGACAGGAGTTGATACAATATCCAGTATATCTTATATTGCTGATGTGCAAAACACTAAGGAATCTTACATTCAAAGGAAAAATTACTGATTTCCTTGTTGGTCTTCAATTTTTGTATTTTAGAAAAGTGTAGATAAGAGTTGTGTTCCTTCATACTGTCACATGTTAAGAGTGTAATTATAGGTGGGGTTCGGATAGGTAATTGGATTTATCACACACTTTTGCAACTCACTAGTACAAATAACTATGACAGTCTTGCTGAGTTAAACACTCCAGAGGTCACTGTAACTACAGTAAACATAAACTCTTCTCAGTCTTCACAAGCTGTTGCTTGGTAGCGGCTTTCAACAGTAGACATTCCCCTTCCTCTAGGTTCCTGAACTGTCCCCCGCCTCAGCTACCAGCTTCTCAGTTCTCACAACTGCAGCTCTTAACTAACTTAGTCACAACTGAACTCTTAGTCCTTGTTATGTAGCCATGGCATGGACTGTACAGATACTCTTCCATTATTGTGTTTCTCTTGTTGCAAGGAAAACAGCACATCCACAGAGCTGTTCCCTAACAATGGCTGTTGTACTGTCACCTTGTTTACACAGCTGTTACTTGGCAGTGGGTTTACATATCAATACCGTTCTTTTTCTTATCAGTAGCTCCACACTAGTGGATTTTCTTGATAGCAGATGGCACTGCCCAGTCCAGTCTGAGATATTTGAATTGCATGTAGGTGTGTTTGTGTTGTCAGTTATCAGTGTGGCAGAGCCAGTTGAAGCGTAAGCTTATTTGTTAGTTACAGAAGTAACTGTATTAATATTGATTGCCATGCAGTGTAGTAGAGTTATCATTCGTTTATTATTGAGGTTCATTTCTCAGAGGTTGGCATCTCATATAATTTAATCACATTTTCTGTCATTAGTCACAAATATAATTATGTGAAAAATGCTATTATTTATTGTATGATCAAGTAAAACTACTGTATAATTATTTAAACACTCTGTAATTTTAACATCATTTGTTCAAAGTAATTTATACTTCCTCTTCTGTTCTTATTGCCTACATGAAGCATTGTAGGCACAATTCTACAGTACATGTCACTTGGTGGGGTTCCTAAGTGTTAGTTTTATTGCTGTTTGTAAGAATCCCTGCCATCGCTCGATATGGGTTTTGTTTTCAGTCTGTTCATTTACTTACAGAGGAAGGTTGTGGTTTCTGTTTCCATACTTGTATTATCCTAATAAGAAATGTGCAGAAGTCTGAATCAGCAGGAACAAAACAGGAAGGGTTCCATCTTCTGAAATATAATGCTGTGTAGACTGTTGAAAGTCAACCGACATTTTGGAGAAACATGTTGCTTCCACCATCAGGGTTGAAGAATAAGCCGAGCTGAGCTTGTAACCCATGTCACATTGGTTTCTTGCATTCTTCTACCCTGTTCCTCCAAAATGTCTGTTGCCTCTCACCCAACTATATGGCATTATTTCCCACATGATAAAACTCTTCATAACCACTGCTGTGAGCACGTCATCAAGTCCTATACAGAACAGAAGAACACTGTGCAGCTGATTTCATGGTCTGCAAATTTCCTTAAGTGTAATTTGAGTTATGTGTAGAGTGCTCTTTTTGTGTAGCTGTGTCATTAATAAATATAAGCCAGTTTTTTTTTTTGTGATGAAATATAATCTATTATACATCTTCATTCTACCTAGCAGAAAGATCTGTACAATTAGAAGTAGGTAATCGACACTGGCTCACACTTTATCACCCTGCCTTTACTTTTTACTTGAAAGGAATAATAACATAATTGAAATTTGCCCCTTTTTTAACTATTAACCTTTATCGGATGGGCCATTTAATTTCCGGTAGGGGCAGCTGGACGGAGTTTATTTAAATGCCCGCCCTTCTAGGGCAATGGAATTGTAAGCATGTTTCTAAAAATGGTGTAATTTCTACATTTTTTATGATAAACGAACGAAATGAACGCTCCTTTAATGTAGAAAGAATATAGAATCAGATATTCTAATTTACAGATTTTAATATCTGTAAAAAATTTTTACACATTCAAAAAAAAAATCCCTAAATTCATACATATTCTGCACCATGCGTTCTAGCAGTGTAATACATTTTCTGCACCATGCGTTTTAGCAGTGTAAAAGTCCTTGTCGCGACCTCGTACAATACTATCGCTTGTTGAAGCTTATTTATCGTATGGTACATGACGGTATGCAGAGACTGTGGGCGTCTGAAATTCGTTCGCTGTTAGAAATACACATGATTACATTCTCAGAATATGGTGTTGCCAGATCGGTCATTCGTTCATTCATTGCAGTCAAACCATTGTGTTTGTAACGATTTTGAAACATCGCAATATAAGTTTAGCCACCCATGACATCATGAAGTAGATATTGGGTTCAGCGAAGTCGTGAATGAGATTTTTGTATGTGTGGGCTCGAGGTTAAGATTTATAGCTTCTTATCGTGGTCTACGCACAGAGATTCACTGCTAGAGAGCCGTATACACGACGTCGTATGGAAGGTGCTGAAAGTGAAAAACAGCTGTTCAGTGACACAGATTCGGACTGCTATTCAACCAATTCTGAAAGGGGCGATGAAAGTAGGAGTTCTGAATCTGTGGACGTAGGGTCATCACCTTCGTCATCAATTTGGGGACCGCCAGACCAGTGTGGCTGGAGAGATGTGAATAATTATGCCAGTGTAGCTGCGGGGATAAATATCACTTGCAGCTTGATATCACTGGCCTGCTTCCTCCAAATCGCAACTGAGGTGTCGTGTGTGCTTTTCACGTGGGAAGCGGTCTAGCATTCGTACGAAGTGCGTGAGCTGCGACGTCGGACTCTGCATTTCGGAATGTTTTCGGCAGTATCATNAAAAAAATCTTTACACGCGTACAATGTGCGAAATCATATGAGGTCGTTCGGCCATATGACGTCGGTAGATTACATTAGATCACGCAGGAGGGAAGGCTGTCACCTTATAAAGGTTGTGACCAAAAATTATGTAAATAGAACAACAATTTATATTTTAAATTTAATTTAAAAAAAATCTTTACACGCGTTGAATGCGCAACATCATATGATGTCGTTCTTCAATTTGTCCTTACTTTTAACGTCATATGACGTCGCTAGATTACATTAGATCATGCAGGAAGGAAGGCTGTCTCCTTATAAAGGTGGTGACCAAAAATCATGTAAATAGAACAACAATTTATATTTTTAATATAATATTAAAAAAAACCTTACACGCGTGGAATCCGCGGCATCATATGATGACGTTCGGCCAGCTGCCCTTACTTTTAACGACATCATATGATGACGTTTGTCCAATAAAGGTTAATAAAGTGATCTCATTAAAAGGTTTGAGGTGTAAAAGTTCATATTGGTTCAGCCTACACCTCTGATTTTTTACCCTACTTTGTTCCTAATCCAATGATTTGGATTAGCTCTCTCTAACAAACCAAACAGAGCAGGTGTTTCCCACTCCCTAACCTGAGGACAGAAACAGATACATCTTCCGAAATGTTCTGTTCTTTAGAATACCAGACAGTGGACAAATTCCAAAAACCCATTACTCCAAACTACAGATGTGATACTATTGTAATGGGTGCCTGCCAGCTGAAAGATTTCCTATCAGCAGATAACTGTCCACATCAGAGGTTTTTCAACTTCTTTTTTCCACATATTTCTCTTTGAGTTTACGAAGTGCACTCCTCTTATTCCTAACACGTTCATACAATTTCCTTTTTCTTGGTGTCAATTTGGAAAGCGAAGCCAAAGTTCTTTTAGCGGAGAATGCCTTGCTCTAGGCTTTGAGGAAGAACTTTGACAACTGATATGCCTGAGTTCTCTGTCAGAAGCATTTACATTTACAGAGCTTAGGGAGAAAGAAAGTTTCTTTCACTGCGAAGTTATTGGCTGCTCCTAGTGATAGTTGGAGTGCAGACATTTTAAAGGAAGTGGAAGGACTGTCAGCAAAAATAGGAATAGGTGTTACAGCGGAGGGCACCTGTGTCTTGCTGTGGGTTCTGGTGGGATGTAAGACCCAATGTTATCTTTGTGAGTTATGACTGAGGCCAAGGGATCCAATGAAGGGCAGGAGGTTGTGACAGTGTCTGGGAAGCAGAATCTGAGCCACATGGAACTGCCACTGTGTTGAGGTGTACTACTGAAATCACTTCCCAAGAAATGTCTGCTGTACAAATATTTAATGTGCAGCATTCTAGCAGAACTTTTCCTACACATACCAGAGCACTGCAAGAGTAGAACATATTGTCTCAAAATCTATAAATAATTCATCAGAAAACATTTAAAACATGGTGCAGGTGCTAAATTTTGGGGGATGTGTTCAATAAATTTAATGCAGACATAGGCTAAACTTAATTTCTTGTTGGATTATATGTTAACTATGTATAAATATAATATTTAGTTTGCTAAGCTGATGTACTTGAGCGTTCAAAAGTGCCCTGTTTGTAGGCACTCTTTCACTATGCTTCTGTAAGAAGTGCTTGTACAGAAACACATCTACAGAACTGTTTTCACAAGTCTTGAGTGTTCTCCTTTGCAGCCCTCCTTCATTTTCTGTGAACTCTTCATATGAATGCCATTTATCTTCTGTTTTCACCCAATCACATATTGTTCCTTCTGGAATGCTGCACTTGCAGAATAAGCTGGCTTTTAATTTGCCATTCCTCAGCAGCTCAGCAAGCTTTTGGACCATCTGTGATCAAGAAGGTAAAAGGGGTGTTTGCTAATTTTGCTGTTTGAACAAACTGATTCCAAGGTTAAAGAAACCTGAAACATATCTCATACTGTAACTAAAATATTTCATAAAGTAAGTGTACTCATACTGGGGGACATGATGAAAACCATGGTATATCAGAATCTGTGGTATAATGAGGGCCTGTTGTATCCTATATAATTAGAATAAAGTTGAAGAAAGCAGTCTTCTGGGATTTGGCACCGTGTATATGTGGTGTTAACCGACGTTTCGGAGGAACATATCGCCTCCATCTTTGAAGATGGAGGCGATACGTTCCTCCGAAACGTTGGTTAAGACCACATATACACGGTGCCAAATCCCAGAAGACTGCTTTCTTCATAGTCACCGCCTTGTAAGCCTCAAATCTTACATAGAATAAAGTTATTAATACTTTGTTCCCTCCTTGATATTTTTTCAGATCTTGCATAGAGATCTTAAATCAGCAAATATACTTATCACAAAAGTTGGAATATTGATAATAGCAGATTTTGGTTTGGCAAGGCCATTTACTTCCGGCCAGTGTTGTAGGCACGCTCTGAACTTCTTTATGAATTTATGAATTTTCTGTGCTTCACGAACTTTAATTGATTCAAGTAAAGAGGTTGGTCTAGAAGTAAACACAGAGAAAACTAAGTATATGTTACTGTCTCGTCACCAAAGTGCAGGGCAAAATCATGACATAAAGATAGGAAACAGATGTTTGGAAAATGTGACACAGTTGAGATATTTGGGAACAATGATAACAGATCGAAACCTGTTTCAGGAGGAAATTAAGAGGCGATTGAACGTGGCTGATGCTGGCTATCATTCAGTCCAGAACCTTTTGTCTTCTCGTCTGTTGTCCAAAAACATAAAAATTAGAATTACAAAACTATAATTTTGCCTGTGGTTCTGTATCGGTGTGAAACTTGGTCTCTGACATTAAGGGAGGAACATAGATTGACGGTGTTTAAGAACAGGGTGTTGAGAATATTTGGACCGAAGAGAGATGAAGTGACAGGAGGTTGGAGAAAACTGCATAATGAGGAACTTCATAACTTGTACTCTTGTCCAAGTATAATTAGAATGATCAAGTCAAGGAAGATGAGGTGGGCAGGTCATGTAGCACAAATGGGGGAGACAAGGAATGCATATACGATATTGGTGGGAAAGCAAGAAGGAAAGAAACCACAGGGAAGACCAAGGCGTAGGTAGGTGGACAATATTAGAATGGATCTTAGAGAGATAGGATGGGATGGTATGGATTTGATAGATCTGGCTCCGGATAGGGACCAGGGGAGGGCTCTTGTGAACATGGTAATGAACCTTTGGGTTCCATAAAATGCTGGGAAATTCTTTAGTAGCTGCAGAATTGTCAGCTCCTCCAGAAGGGCTCAGCTCCATGAGTAAGTAAGTAAGTAATAATTTCAGTGATGCAAAATATTACAGATATATTGTTTTTACTTTTATAATTCTTTAATGGTCAGAAGTGCAGCATACAATGGTTTATTGAGAACAGATTGTTGTAAATGTTGATGCCAACACAGTATGCACTTTTCTGAAAACACAAGAGGTTGGCATTTGGTCTGTGAAGATGGTGCTTTTTCCTTGTGTTAACGCTGTGTACAGCTGAATTAGTCTGAAAATGTTCTTGGTTATTTACATTGAAGTTCATTAATGAAAATGATATGTTCACATTGAAGAAATAAGATCTCTTATTTCTTAAATGTAGATGTCTACATGAATTTCTATGTTTGACACCTGCCGTGTTTCTGACAATTTTGTTTTGTAATTTAAACATATCTTTTTGCTGTTAGGTGAATTACCTCAGCAAATTTTTCCATACCTCGTTATAGAGTGAAAATGGGCAAATTAAATTGATATGAGAGGGCTAGTGTTGCAGAGCAGTGTCACATCCGAGAACATTACAGTTTTAATATTCACCTCTGTGAGAACCTAAAATCTCACATACCCCTTTCCCAGCACTCTGTCTGCAGAGAACCTCGTGGATGATCCATAAAACACCAAGTTATATGCTTAGTCTTGAGAATTGTAGTACAGTGTAGTGTTTAATATAAAGTTCTGTGTTTATTTTTCAGGTATACCAATTGTGTCGTAACTTTGTGGTATCAACCACCAGAATTGTTGCTAGGTGAATGCAACTATGGGCCAGCAGTTGATATATGGAGCGTTGGCTGCATTATGACAGAGATGTGGACAAGAGTTCCCATCCTGCAAGGGAATACAGAGCAGGGTCAGCTGAAATTGATTACAGATCTCTGTCTCTGTCAATCGAGGGGTGTGGCCTGGAGTTGAGTCCATACCACTGTACACTAAGAGAGAGTTACCACACAGAGGGAAACGTAAGGTATGTTAATGCAAAGCGAGCTGGCCATTTGCTTTTGGCTCAGTGTGAATAATTTTAGAAGAGTTGTTGTATCTGCTTATGCTGTTAATTTGAATGCAGTGAACCAGAGCGTTCAGCTATTGTAGAACCATATTTATTTCAGTGTTTTTAATGTAGCAGACTTTGTACTGTTCTTTTCATGTGGGTAACAAAGATACCTTGCTGTGTGAGAGGCTCCATTTTCAGTAAAATGTTTTGTTTCTTTCTGAAATATTCTCAGTGATTGTGTGTTGTGTAATCCTTTGGCTCCTTGGATGGGAAATGGTTTTCAGTATAAAAATACAGTGCGTTCAACCATCGAGGAAACTGGTGGAGTGGTGTGAGTTGGATACAACATTTCTCAGAGATTGCTGCTGTAACTGCCAATAGCAGAATGAGTCTTCAGCACTGATAAATGCGTGCACTCTCCCTAGCGTAGAGCAGATTGATCATTTCTCCGCGACTACTGTGCCCTTCCCCGCTAGCAAGAATGCAGTCATGTTGCTGATTCCCTCACATCAGTTTCTGTACATCCGCACATTTATAGGAATACTGTAGAAAGATAACAGACTTACTGTGCTTTATAACAGGTGTTGGAAGTGACCCCCTTCTGCTTACAAATGCCTGACATTGTATAAATAAATTATGCGACACTTTCTGAAGTTGGTCCACGGCAATTGAACTAATTACACGTGTTATTTCATTCTGCAGAGCTTCAGTGGTGTGAGGATTATTCTTGTAGACGTTTCCCTTTAGGTTACCCCAAAGATGAAAAACGCAAAAACTGAGATCTGTGGATCTGGAAGGCCACAGTCCCCTGATGATTACTTTGTCTTCAAACACTTCCCGTATGGCAACCATGGATGCATTAGCCATATGTGCTGTAGCGTTTTCATGCTGCAAATACCCATATTGTCTTTTTTCAGCAGTCAGCTGCTTGAAGAACAGTTTCAGTGTGTCATTAACACAGTGGCCAGAGTTCACGGATTCGTGGAACAATTAAGGGAACAATGATTCAGCGCAGACTTACAGCACACCACACCCCCACTTTTTCACTATGTAATGGCACTTGCTGTATAGCATGAGGATTGTACACGCATAATTAGTTCAATTGCTGTATGTAGGAATATGTAGAGAAGAACTATTTTTTTATTGCTAGTGGGGTGGGACTAAGTTCCTTGTACTGTGACCACTTCTGGCCTATTGTACCAGTCCCAGATGATAGGTGAGGGTGATTGTGGAGCAATTGGTGGAATAAGATTGGCAGGGGAAACCGAAGTACTCAGAGAAAACCTGCCCCAGTGCCCCTTTGTCCACCACAAATCCCACTTGACCAGACCCGGGATCGAACCCGGGCCGCCATGGTGGGAAGCCAGCAACTAACCACTTGAGCTATGGCACAGCCTAGAGAAGGACTAACTCACATACAGTTTCTTGCACCTGTGTCTCTGTTTCTTCTGGGTGATAATTAAAATTTTATGACTTCCCAACATATAGCAAGGACCCCATGCTGGCTGAAGGCTGTTCAGTTGAGTGAAGTGAAGGGAAGTGAAGTAGTTGGTTGGTGAGTGAGTTCAGGTGGGGGATGTTAACAACCAGTGGGCAGCAGCAATACCATGAAAGCTGAATATTATTCACTGTTAAGAATCATTACCAGGAAACGTCTAGTGAAAACATTACAAAGGAATAGCCATTGTTGAGAGCTGTTACCAAGCAACACCTGATGAATGCAGGCTAAAAAGACTTAGTGTGGAGTGATTTGTAGTGTGGAAATCAGCAACAGTGTTATAGTTATTTGTAGATACGACTATAACTTGTCAATAAATCTGTTCACCAATCCACACCCCATCTGTAGTCACACATACATGTGACAATACCAATTTAATTTCAGATTTAAATGCATTTATATGACAAAGTTGGTTATGCAACTGAAATGCCTTCTCTGTATAACCTAAGGGACCACAATAAAATTATGATTACACAGAAAATCTTTAAACTATTTCCTACCAGATAACAATCTTTTCCGGGCTTATAAAATCACAGCTGCATATTGCTTATAGTTGAGTCTTGTGAAGCTGTAGGAACATGCTGTAAATAAATTTATTCTTTGTAAGTTTTGAGGTTTTCATGGCGATNACACCTAAACCCAGAAGACGACTTTCTTCAAATTTATTCTTATTTATTGGTTGAGACACTTTGCTACAAGCCAGAAGGTCACACATTCCATTCCCAATGAGGTCATTGGATATTTTAATTGACTTAATCCTTCCAGCCGCACTAGGGTCCTGGGGTTGACTCAGCCTCTGACAGAAATGAGTACCAGGAATCTTCCTGAGTGGTAATGAGTAGCCAGTGCGTAAGGCTGACAACCTCACTGCCATTTTTGAGCCGATTGTCTAGAAAATGTGAGGGCCTCGACATCTCAGAACCCTATGGTCCTCCACGGACCATTACAGGGATTGTATTATATTGTATTTATTAGCATTCATCAATCCAGTCAGGTACATGACCATTGGATATAGAAATTGTCAGCAGATTACATTCATATTTACATAAGATTGTCTTAACATAAAATAAAAAACAATTGAAATATAAGAAACTAATGCATGCAACTAAAATACAAAGCTATAATTACTGGGATACCCCAAGGTCAAATTTATTATTCCTATCAAGATACTCTTCAACTGAATAAAAAGCGTTTTCTATAAGAAACTTTCTCAATTTATGTTTAAATTTATTAATATCATGTGCAACTTGCTTGATATTGGGGGGTAAAGTAAAAAGTAAAACTATCCTTGTAACAGGCCATGAAGGCCCATAGGGTTGTGAGACATTGTGAGGCCCGCATTTTTATACCATTACTGTTCGACAGCGCACAGACCAATTGGCGGTGGAGCTACAACTGTGAGCGCTGATTGGATAGTGCTTCTGTTGGTGGCCAGAGAGCCAGGCTGGAAACGATGTATAAATATTGCCTCATCCTCTTACGTTGTGGGAGTTACCTTTTGTCTGTTAGAATGTGGGAGGTTCCCACATGTTCATTCAAAACAGGTATATTTGTAACACTGAAGTTTTGATAAACCACTGTAAACAAAAACTAAATTTCCATTCACGTGATCTGTTCAGATACTGAATGTTGTAACTACTGAGCATAAATTGGTAACACATAATCATGAACCTTAAGGACTGTGAGTTCTAACTTCAGTACTACAAAGATTCATCACTGCATGGTGCATGCTTTTTGAAAATAAATAACATTGTTACAGGGGCACAGAGCAGCAAATGAAGCACATGGTGAATAGTGCCAAACATGTATGAGTTAACTACATTATTATGAGAAACTTTGAGGAGGGTCCGTGCAGGAGGTTATGTTTTCACCTTTGCTGCAGAACCTGGTTGTGGATGAACTTTCATGGGAACTCAGTGCTGATGTTTATGCTGTAGGCATAATGACTATGACTATGCTCTAGGCATAGTACAGCAGTGGTGTGATATGACAAATCTGTCCATAACTCCAATATGATGGTACCAATACATTATACTAGGAAGATGGACATAAGGGAACATAAGGAACCAGTCTCTTCAGCAAAACAATCCAGCTGCCCAATGAGGTTAACTGACTCGGACTAACGTTAGGAAAGTAGTTAGGAAGCAGTTATTTAAGGTAATGAACAAGGTGTACAGAGCCGTTTGGACCTGTAGAGGCACATCAGGGAAAACTCGTGGGCTGAGACTAAAGGTTTGCATTGGATGTACACCATGGGTGTAAGAAAGTCACCTATGCTGCCATTGTGTGGTGGCCTAGGGTAAAATTTAAAGCGAGCAGGGCTGAACTTAGCAAACTGCAGAGATTGGCCTGCTTGGGTATAACTCGAGCAATGAGAACGGCTCCAACAACTGCAATTAAGGTCCTCCTTGAACTCCCTCCATTGTACTTCCAGTTAGAGGTTGAGGCCAGAGCAGGAATTCATAGACTGCTGAAGCCAACAGTGAAACCCAAATTCAAAAGATATGCACATGGATATATGTTTCAGGGCATGAAAGAAGAATCCATCCTATAGATTTGGACTGATAAAATTATACCTTTCACAGTCAGATACAATGACAGAAGAGATGAGGAAGATGCATACATGAAAGGAAAGGGTGACTAATCTGGTGTACACATGGTTCAAAAAAAATGAATGGAATGTGGCTGGAGTATACAGATATGGCAAGAGCAAGAAGCTTAGCTTCAGCCTTGGCCAACAGCAGTATTTGAGGCAGAAATGTATGCCATCAAGGCATGCGTAGTAGAGAAGTTATACAAAAACAGAAATATCTATATTCAATATGACAGTCAAGCTGTGATCAAAGCACACTTGTCAGTAAGGAAGTAAGTAAAGGTATCCCTGTAACAGGCCGTGGAGGCCCATAGTGTTATGAGATGTTGAGGTTCCCACATTTTCTAGATACTCAGCTCATAGGTGGTGGCAAGGTTGTCATCCCTACATGCTGGCCGCCCTTTACCTCCCAAAATATTCAAAGAATATTCCCGGTACTCATTTCTGTTAGAGGCTGAGTCGACCCCAGGGCCATAGTGCGGCTGGAACAATTAGGTCAATTGAAAAGAATCCAATGACCTCATCGGGACTTGAACGCATGACCTTCCAGCTTGTAGCATAGTGCCTCAACCAACTATGCTACCGCGTGCCCCGCACACTTGTCAGTTACCAGATTAACTCAAAACAAGTCTGGGATTTGTGAAAGTGGCTGAGCATCACGGTTTAACTGATATGGGTGCAAAGGCCACAGATGAATTGAGGGTAGTACCTGGAGCAGCATGTGTCATCTCAGTAGGGAATGCCAAGGATGTCAGGAGCCTGACAAATACAGACCAGTGAAAACACTAGGCATCTTTAACAAGACTCAAACATACAATTAGATTCCCATATGGACCCTCTGCTGGAAGAACTAGAAACTACTGGAACTAAATAAAAACCAGTTATGTTGAGTGAAAGGACTACTTAGATTGCACTGTCACCTGAATAGACACTTCTTCAAATTAGGATTATCCAACAGTCTTATTTGTAAAAGGTGCCTGGAAAAGATGAATCAGCCACGCATATCCTACATGTTTGTAAGGCTGCAGCTTACTTAAGATTCCTTCACATGGATCACTACTATGGAACCAGCTGACCACCAAAACACCCCTTTAAGTAAGATGCTACACACCATTTGAAGTGCGGAATTGTTGAAGGATTGAAATAGATTACAGATGGTTATGGTGCAAATACCAGTCGAGGTCCATCCCTTATTTATTAATTTGGTTATTCGTTCATTCTTGGCCAAGTCTTCTCTGAGAGTGGATATTGATGATCATCAGAAAGCTAATGGCCATGCCTGCTCAGTTCTGCTCAACACAAACATTCATATCTCACTTCAGACAAACGATTGACCTGGCTTACCTTAGCAATAATGATTCAAATACAAAACCTGGAAATGACAAAAGGGCCATTCTAGGAACATTCTTAAGCATGGAATTTTACTAATTTCTTTCAATCAAGGTGCTGGTATCTTCAAATCCAGTAAGCATGGAATTTTTCTAGTTCCTTTCTTCCAAGGTGCTGGTATCTTCAAATCTAGTAAGCATGGAATTTTTCTAGTTCCTTCCTGTCGAGGTGGTGTTATCTTCAAATCCAGTAAACATGGAATCTCTGTAGCTTCTTTCTGTGAACATAAACTGTGTATAAGTCAAAGTGTTGATGAGGAACTTGAACTTGACATTTATCCCATCTGGATCTCCCTTATGAGCAATGAGGTTACTAACTTGCAGAGACGATCTGTACACATGACAGATTCTTCATGGATTGCAATAAGGTTTTAGTCTTGAGTGTTCAGGTTTTATTCCACAGATGATGCTAGCAGGAGGCACTACACGTCTTCACAAATTTTCCATTATTTTCTATGCATTGGTGCTCATGCCCTTGGTTTTGTTGGCTAGGTTTGTAGCATAAATTTCTACCTCCCTTTCTATCCTAGTTCCACGAACATATATGCTTTATCAAAATTTTTATTGCATATTTTCTGTTACCTCCCTCTGAATTAGTGTGGTCTGGGGTACTTAAATAACTGTAGTGGGAGGATCCAAAAGAGTAGGTGTGTCCCCCCACGCAACTGAGGACAGAAACAGACTTTGTATCTGAAACATTGTGCTTCCTAGCTTCTAGAACACGGGACAATGGACAAAGTCCGAAAACCCAGTAATTCTGAACTTTAACCTTGCCATATTTTTCAGGACATGGAACAGCAATTTTCATATATTTTACATGCCACAATTTTAACAACTTTGACAGTATTTGGGGACATTATTACACGCCCTAGAGAAAATGAAGATGACAATATCCTATCACAACTGTCACATAGTCTTTCAAATCGTAGATGCTCTATAGTGTTTGGGTGTATAACGGGTCTATTCAAGTCCTTCAGTTCCATTAACAAAAACGCAAATTGTCCTAGTTTTCAGATTTATGGCACAAAATAATATTTTTCGTGAGTTATTTACTGAACAAAGACAATTTCTGAAATTAGAAATATTTAAATTACTTCCAATTAATTTTAACTGATTCTAGTGTAACTCTCACTTTTTTTTTGTACCAGCCATGTCACAATATTGACTGTACAAAATTCAAAAGTGTGATGTGTGGTGGCCTCTAATGGTACGTATAACCTTCATACCGAATTTTGTGAAAACAGTTCAGTTGGTTCAAAATTTCAGAGGGACAACCACAGTCACCATGGCAATCACATAATCCTGCTTTCTTCCCAGTGTTAAAAGTGGAGGTAAAAGGGAGTAAAGAACATTGCAGCATGCCCAACATAAATCGACAGGAAGACAAGCACAATTACTGAAATCAGTGGCTGAAGAAACAAATGGAATATATAATACTCATGGTACTGAAATTTAGAAATTGACAAGTCCTTGAATACAGTTATTTTCCTGTCACAACCCTGTGATACACAGACTGTTCCCATTAAGAGGTGAGCGACTGATCTGTTACACTGCTAGAAACAAAACAGAATGAAGACTATTACCAACAAACCAATATTACATCTTAGAAGATGTCGTCGATTTTCATAAGATCCAGCTCAGTGCAATACTCATAGGCCAAGTGAAATTCTGATCTCTCAGCAGGCCTGTGTACACAGAGTTTACTCTGATGTATGTTTGTTTCATTAGGATACATTCGGGAAACAGTACAGTTATTGTACAGTGGTGTGTGTCCAGGCTGGGGCAGTGATACATGTGATAACATGTAGTGTTACAGTCAGACACAAATGTTTCTGAGGTACATGCTACCTCCATCTTCAGGATCCAAGGATTCTGTATATACAGAGTGATTCACGAAGTTTTACCCCGGCTTATGGTACATATTCCTGGGGTTATTTCCTGCAAAATTTCCTTATAAACTTGTGGTCGATTTTCAATAGTTACGGAGTAACAATAGATTTTCGAAACGCATCATTGTGAATGCAGCGCTATGCTTCAGCGAGGGCATCAATACGTTCCAGTCAGCTATGTCAGCAGATAAGGTAGACCGGTTTGAATGTTGTACGTAGGTAGATAGGCAGAGCGGTTCATACGCATGTGACACATTGTGTTGACGTGCAGGGAGACATTTCTGAAAATCTTATGTAAATCCAGTCGCCTTCTAAAGCACTACAGTTTAAAGGAGACAGATTGATAGAAGGGTGTGATATGCAACCATTGGTATGTTTACAGAATGGGATGCTGAAAATAATGTAATTTTGTAACACAAAATCGATGAAAAATGTTGCACAATACAAGATTAAGAAACTGAAAAAAAAATTGGTTTTAGAATGCTTCTTTCCTAAAACATTAACTATTTAAAAAGTGTTTGTATTGTATTTCTAATTTGTTTTGACTGAAATTAAAAAAAAAAAAAAAGAAAAGAAAGATTTTTCGCCAGTTTTCAAATTACTGTATCTCTTTAATTATGAGTTGGATACCATTAGTATATTAACATTTTTTGTTCCAAATTACCTCAGGAATGCCCTCCCTAAGTGGGGGTAAAACTTCGTGAATCACCCTGTATAGCCCACTCAATTCGTCATTCTACACACATCAACCCTTATCATCAAGACAACATATTTCACTAAAACGTCAGTACCTACCAAAAGGGCTACACAGTCAAAACCCAGCAGACAAAACTCTGTACTGTATTTTTATTTGAGCACTCTTTCCATTAATGATGGTATATGAAAAGCGAGATCTTGAAAGAACTGAAAATACCTCTTTCCTATTGCACAGACTTCCAGTTCTACCAGTCCTGTGGTGTTACTGTCACGCTTGTGCCATAGCTCAAGCAGTTAGTCACTGGCTTCCCACCGCGGCGGCCCGGGGTTCAATCCCGGATCTGGTCAAGTGGGATTTGTGGTGGACAAAGTGGAGATGGGGGCAGGTTTTCTCTGAGTACTTTGGTTTCCCCTGCCAATCTTCATTCCACCAACTGCTCCACAATCACCCTCACCTATCATCTGGGACTGGTACGATAGGCCAGAAGTGGCCACAGTACAAGGGACTAAGTTCCACCCCACTAGCAATAAAAAAAATACTGCCACGTTTGAATCATAATTCAAGCTTATGATTCAACAGCAGAATATTAATTAGCTTGCGAGGTTGCATGCTTGGATTATTTGGAGGTGCTCGTACAGTTGAACCACACTAAAGTAATATTTCTGGTTTGCAGTCCTAATTATGCTGCAAAATTGTTATTACTTTGTTTGCTTCACATTTTCAAAGTGTATTTCATGTAGTTGCAGATTCCTTCCAAGCTAAATTTGTTGAACATAACACAAAAGATTCTATCATCTCCAAGATAACAAGAGAGCACATGCAAAATATTTTTTTCTGTTCCTTGTATGCACATCTGTGTACTGTTAGTTCCTCGGAACTCTAGCTGCGGTAGAGGGGTCATACCATCTGTCGCGGAGCTGGAGGGCAGTCTTATCAGTTTACGTCAGCGTGGGTACTACCAGTTTGGAATGTAGCATCTTGGAGTGTGGTCACGTGTATAGTACGTTGTCTATCTACTCCTGGTCTCCCTAGGCAATATTTTCCACTCGACTAGTAGCTCTGAACGTCACCACAGTTCACTATTTTTGACAGTGTGTCTTTTCTTCACCCATGTACATCAATACTGATATTGTTTTTAATGTGCTTATAATCCCATGTGAAATCATGGCAGGTATAATGAAGAGTTTTTACACAAAATCCACACTCATGTCCAAATTATTTCATTTTTATCACTTACTCATATATCATATTTGACTGTCTTTTGTATGCAAGCAACAGATACGTGCCTATAAAGCTTTCTTTCCACCTACAAAATATAGAGATCTGATAATAGCAAATGAGTACAAATAACATTTTAACCCTGTGACTGCCAAGAACCACTAAAGTACCAGTCAATAAAAACACCAAGGCTGGTGGTGGTAAATGCAATTGCACAGAAAAACCTAGAATGCTTTCTGCAGCAAAGAAATATATCATGTTAAAGGCCAGTCTTTCCTCCAAACATTGACATATCACCCATGATTCCATCTATTGACAGAAATGCTGTACTAGTTTTTAACAATGAACAAGCGGTGGTTTTACTTCCAAGTACCCTGAGCCAGTCTAGTCCAGTGGTTCTCAAACTTCTTGAGACATCAGCCCAGTAATTTCTTTTTTTATAAGATGAGGGCCCAGTACTGGGCTGTGGCCCAGCGATTGAGGAACACTGATCTAGTCAGTTTGTGGTGTTCAGAAGGCTAAAGGCAAAGGGGATTAAGTAACTGTTCCAAGCAGGTACTACATTATGTTTATAGAAGTTAATTTTTAAAATTGTCTAATTTGATCTTTCACCATGAATTTCTCAAAATGAGATCATTCCTACCTCACTGTTCTTCATTGTGAGATGAGCCTCTGCAGTTAACCTCCCACATACTGGTTCAGTCACCAGCTGGGAATCAGAAAGTGACAATGCCTTGGCCTTCATCATTGGAGCTGCAAAAAACACAATACACATTATTGTACATACTTGTACATATACATCTTTACAAATATCATGTTTTTGGACATTATCCATCCTCCTGTCTTTTTTTTTATGCTAGTGGGGTGGGACTAAGTCCCTTGTACTGCAGCCTCTTCTGGCCTATTGTACCAGCCCCAGGCGATAGGTGAGGGTGATTGTGGAGCAGTTGGTGGAATAAAGATTGGCAGGCAAACCAAAGTACTCTGAGAAAACCTGCCCCAGCACCACTTTGTCCACCACAAATCCCACTTGACCAGACCTGGGATCTAACTCGGGCCACCATGGTGGGAAGCCAGCGACTAACCACTTGAGCTATGGTGCAGCCATCCTATCTTTATCTAAAAATGCCACCCTGTATATTTTTGAAAAAACAACGTTTTGGAGACTCAATTCTGTCTGTCTTCAGGTAAAACCTACTCAGTTGGGCCCAATCAATAGAGCTAGTCCCCATCTCCAGACACCTGTGCCATCACCAAGATGGGGTGTAAAGGCCAAACACAGCACAAAGCATCTGTGAGAGCTAAGAAAACATAAATTATTATTGGCTTGAATGCCCCATCTTGGTGCTGACAGAGGTGTCCAGAGATAGGGACTAGCTGTATCAATTGGGTCCAACTGAGTAGGTTTTTTGCCTGAAGACAGAGGCAGAATCCAGTCTCTGAAACGTTGTGTTTTTAAAAATAAACAGGACAGTGTTTTTAGATAAAGACAGGATGGTAGATAATGTCCCAAAATATAATATTTATACTAATGTACCATCATCACAAACTTTTGGATCTTATTCATATACATCTTCATAATATAAAAGGGGCATTAACATTAGGATGGCATAATGGCTGCTGAGCTTATAAATCACATTGAAACATGATAGTATATTTTCTTTGGTTATTTTCATGCTCCACCAGTTCAAGAAAAACCACACATTGAGCTCACTGTGTACAGTGAACCCTCTTTTTGTGCATAAATACTTGAGTGAACTGTAACACCTACCATGCACACTATCTGAAGTTTTATAAGAGCAGGTTCAGCTGCAGAACATTATATACTTATATGTACATACTGTATTAAAACTGTAAACATCAAATTGAAAAGAGAACCTATGTTCCTTGATATGACAGGGACCGCAATGAAAACAACACATTCAATAACTTTTCTACTGTTGTGTCTGTATTCATTGCCACTGTAACCCTTTTACTGAGCCACTGCCTAGCAACGATGGAAGAATTTTTTTTTTCAAGGCATTGCCAAGCAACACATACAAGCACACAGACTGATGGGAATAATTTGTGCATTACAACATTGAGATAGGCTCAGATGTCATGATATACATACCAGATGTCATAAAGACTGGCTCAGGCATTCAGAAGTTAATAAGAGAGGGTACACAAACAGCATGAAAATCACATAAGCTGAATTTCGTTTTTTTCTTTTCAAAATAAGGAAAATAGGCAACATTTTTCTATGGGAAGGGAACTGAGAATCATGAAATAGGCACAGGTTTCTTGTACATAAGAGAACCATGTCAGCAGATAAGAGAGTAGAGTCTGTTAGTGATAGGATGTCATACATATTACTGAGGTCACTGGTGTGATATCATTGTTCTGAATGTTCAAGCCCCAACAGAGGATAAAATTGAATTATATGAAGGGCAGCTTCTATGAGGAATTAGAATGTGTATTCGATAAATTCCCTAAATGTCATATGAAAATTTTGTTAGGAGATTTCAATTGCAAAGTCGGTAAGGAAGACGTGTTATAACCAACAATTGTGAATAAGAGTTTATATGAAATTAGTACTGATAATGACGTTAGAGTAGTACACTCTGCCACATCCAAAATTCTCACTGTAAAAAGTACAAGTTCCCCACATTATAACATTCATAAATTTACCTGGACATTTCCTGATGGGAAGAGACACAGTCAATTTGACCATATTTTGATAGATAGGAGACATCACTCAATTGTACTTGATGTCCGGTCATTAGGGACAAAAGACTGTGATACTAACAACTACGCAGGTCATACCGAAAGTCATGAACAACTTTTTTTGCATGCAACCTGGGAACAGCAGACGAAAGAGTGTATGGTGGTAGGTGGAACCAGCTGTTGTGTTAACCTTGAGTGTCTTGTGACGTCAATAACTTGCATCACGTGACCAGTATCACTCCTAACAAAACGCCTGACAACAATATGTCGTTTCGCCAGCGTGCTGTCATTGAATTTCTTGTGAAAGAGGAAATCCCTGCTGCAGAAATTCATCAGAGACTTCAGCATGCTTATGGAAGTGTGTGCATGGGTGCGAGCAGTGTTCGAAGATGGGTGAAACATTTTAAAGATGGGAACACCAGCATTGAAGATGAGCCTCGGAGTGATCGTCCTCGAACAGCCTCAACTGAACGCAACAAGGAAAGAGTGGATGAGATCATTCAAGATGACAGGTGTGCAACTGTGGACACAGTAGCCCAAAAACTTTGAATAGGGCACAATGAAGTACAGGAGATGATAGAAAGCTTGGGCTATAGGAATGTTTGTGCTCGTTGGGTCCCGCGATTATCGACCGAAGACCACAAAGGTCAGAGAAAAGCCATCACCTCAGAACTGTTGCAGAGATATCGACACGAAGGCGATGATTTTTTGCTCTGTATTGTGACAGGTGACGAAAGCTGGTTTCACCATTTAAAACCTGAAACAAAACGGCAGAGTATGGAATGGCACCATTTGCATTCTCCATCAAAAAAGAAGGCAAACACAGTGCCATCAGCTGCGAAGGTGATGGGCACAGTCTTCTGGGATGCAGAGGGGTTTATTCTGGCCAAATTCCTGGAACCTGGGCAAACCATCAATGCTGCTTGTTATGTCCAGACGCTGCACAAGCTCTGTTGTGGATTGAACAATAAACGTCTGGGATGAAACATCATCATCCTGCATGACAACGCTCGCCCCTGCACCACTCGACTCACATTGGAAGCAATTGCAAAGATGGGGTGGGAAGTTCTTCCACACACCTCCTATAGCTCTGATCTGGCACCCTCCGACTACCATCTTTTCGGATTTGTGAAGGATCAGCTGCATGGACAAGGTTTTGAGACAAGGGAGGCAATTCAGAAAGCAGTGCGTCAAGTGTCTTTGGGTGGCTGGCATGGAATTTTACAGAAGGGGAATTTTCAAACTCCCAGAATGCTGGGAGAAATGTGTACAAAGAAGTGGCAATTATGTGGAAAAATAAAGAACGGTCTGTAGATTGAGGTGGTGTATTTGGTTTGTCAATAATAAAGCATGTTACTTTACAAAAAATTGTTGCTCATGACTTTCAGTACAACCCTCACATCTGGTGGTAGAAAAAGTTAGGGAGAGGCTGGTAACAAGTAAAGAAACAACACACAGATTTCATATTGAGAAGTTAAATCTCAAGAAATTAACTCTTTGACTGGCGCGGGCGTGTTTTAACGCCAGGGCGATGCCAGCCGTTCCCTGGCGTTGGCGTGTTTTAACGCTTTGAAAATCTCTTCCCTTATTTGCTCTCTTGGCTCTCTTCAACCAAAGACATATATATATGATAGTTTTTGTGCATGGTTGTAAAGAACCCTTGTAAACTTTGTGGGGGTCTATATTACTGTCAGAACCCTGCGAGAAGGAAAAGTTCAAAAAATATTTCACATTCATTCAGTTTCACCATGGCTTCTCGCAGCAAGTGTCGGCATGTTCCTACAGACCAGCTGGAAAGTGTTGTGAAGGAGATTTGTGCTGATGATGATAGTGGCGATGAAATAATGATTCCTGAATTGAATGATGTTGACAGTGACAATAGTACAGTGATAGACAATGATCCACAAGACAGTAATCATGAACATTTAGCTACCACGAGTGCGGTGCCTGACACGCCCATCTCATGGACGTACGGAGACATTGTACCAGTAATAGTTCCATTTACTAGTAGTTCCGGGATCAAAATTGATATAACACATAAAATGCACCCCTTTTCATGGATAAAATTTTTTCTGGATGATGACTTAGTAACTCACATTACAACTGAAACCAATCGCTATGCTCACCAGCACTTCAACACACATGAGTTAGCTCCTCACTCTCGAGAACTCAATTACAAATATGTCACATCAGATGAAATCTGGACATATTTAGGAATTGTGTTCATGACAGGAATCGACAAACGCCCTGAAATTGAAGACTATTGGTCCACTAGGCCCCTATTTCACACTCCATGGTATGGACAAAAGATGTCTTTGCGGCGGTTCCAACAGATTTCAAAATTTCTTCATTTTGCTGACAACGATGCACGACCAGCTGACTGTGAAGATCGCCTGTATAAAGTTAGGCCAATTATAGACTCATTAGTGGGAAAATTTAGGAACACATATATCCCTGAAAAGGAAATTGCAATAGATGAAGGAATGATCGCTTGGAAAGGACGTCTTATCTTCCGAGTATATATGCCTGATAAACCTGATAAGTACGGTATAAAGGCTTATCTTGTTTGTGAATCGACAAGTGGATATATTTGGAATTTTGAAATTTATTGCGGAAAATCAAGGCCTATAAAAGAATTAGTTGTCGATCTGTTGGGGCCACAGCTTCTAGATAAAGGGTATCATCTCTACCAGGATAACTATTACAATAGTGTAGAATTGTGTGAGACGTTATTACAGAGAAATACCTATGTGTGTGGAACCTTCAGAATGGACAGAGGAGCTCCCAAAGAACTAAAGAATGATGTAAAAAAATTGAAAAAAGGGGAATCTGTGTTTTCTAGGAAGGGGCAGGTTCTCGTACAGGTGTGGAGAGATAAAAGAGACGTCAAACTTATCTCCACTCTTCACACAGCAAAAATCGTGGAATCTGCAAAAACGAATCGCAAAGGAGAAAAAATATGCAGACCCGAGGTAATTGGGGACTACAATAAACATATGAGAGGGGTTGACAGGGCCGATCAAATGCTGCATTATTATCCTTGCTCCCGCAAAACTGTAAAGTGGACAAAGAAACTGGTGTTTTTCTTGTTGCAAATGGCAGCGTTGAATAGTTTCATTCTATTCAAAAAGTACACAACAACAGAAAAATACAAGAAGAGAAATTACAAATTCAAAGATTTTATATTGGACTGTGTAGAAAAAATGACAGAACAAAACAAACAGTGTGGAGAGGGAGAACAGTCAAGGAATGAAGTGGATGACGAATCTATTGCGTCAGACTCGAGTGCAGTCACGCCTCCGCCCGCGACCTTGAGAAGACCACCAGTGAAAGACCCAGAAAATCGTCTAGAGGGTGGCTTGAAAGTTCACAAAATGGTCCATGTTCCTCCCAGTAACAATAAGAAGAATGGTGCCATGAGAAAGTGTCGAGTGTGTGCTAAGCATAAGATTAGAAAAGAAACAAGTGTCATGTGTGCAAGCTGTGGTGTGGCTCTCTGCAAACTTTCATGTTTCAATGTTTATCACACGATGAAAAACTACTAAAAAGGTATGGAAAGACATTTATTGCATAAAATATTGTATTTTTAATAGTTCCTGAAAATTTCATTTTTAAAAACCAATTTTTGTTGAAGTTGTTTAGAAAAAAGTAAGCACATGCATCTAAGCGACATAATGTTTAAAAGGCCTGCCAGGACAGGGATGGGATTTAAATACCCTTCGCGCCAGTCAAAGAGTTAAGTGAGGTAGACGGTAAAGAGCAGTATCAGGTTGAAATCTCAAACAGGTCCCCAGCTTTAGAGAACTTAGATGCTGAGGTGGATATTAATAGGACTTGGGAAACTGTTAAGAGAGAATATCAAAATTTCAGCCAAAGAGAGTCTGCATTATTATGAATTTAAGAAACATAAGCCACTGTTTGACAAAAGATGCTCAGAATTATTAGATAAAATGAAACAAACAAGGCAAATTATTAGAGAAAATACAGTAATTTTCTTAGCAATATCAATTTATTTACAAAATCATGAACTCTGCATATATATATTAATACAGTGCAACCTCATAACTCCAACACCCTTGGGACCTAGAACGAGCCATATTTATGAAAATGCTGCTTTTTCAAAATGATTCATACAGCCTAAGTGTCCAGGGGACTCTTATGGGAAGAAACAAAAGAAATCTTTTTGTAATTTATCTCACATATTTCAAAATTTTATCAGAGATCACACCAGACTTTTGCAAATAATCACAAGCTTTATTGATTTCCAAACAATTGTGGAATGCCTTTACTAGCTGTATTAGCTATATTTCTGATATTGATACAATTTCACTTCTTTGTCAAACCATTCTTCATATCATTGATCCTAAAAGTTTATAACATTTTAGCCACTCATAGTCTTAAGATTGTCAATGTCTGCAGCTTCCCTTTTTGTTTTCACAAGACGTACCCAGTAGAACTGCCTACTCTATATGCTTCACAAAGTCTCTTAACTGAAGCACCATTTTCAAGTTTTCTTAGTAAGTCTACTTTATGTTCACACTTCATAAAATAACTGGAGCAGTCTTCAGCTTCTTTTGATGACATTCCAGTATAAACTGAGCACTGTTACACTAGTGAAAACCATACTTGATCCTGCAAAAACTTTAAAAAGTGACAGACCTTTTATAATTCTGGATTTTCGAGTGCCAGATTTTTGAGGTTCTACTTTAAATGCGTTGGAATGACTAAAATATAGTGTCACTACAAGTCATACTGTTTCGTTTGATTCATGTACTTTCAAACAAAGCAAACACTTTGCTTGTGATACCTACATCCCATGTGAGGGTAAGTAAACTGTAGTCAGTGACCTACATTTCAAGGTACTTGCCGCATCTGTCATTAAAACAATCAAATATGAGATCTGAAAGCTTACCACTGAGAATCCAGTGTTTATTCTGACTATAAATCAGCACTTTCTTATACTGGAAAGCATCTAAAGCACATATGCCAGCAGCAAAAAGGAATATGGACACCAATGATTGCAAGTTCTTGCCTAATGTTTATCTTCTAGATCCTTCCTCTTCCTTCTGCCCTAATGGTCTGTGTCATGTCCATAGGCATTGGCAGGTCACTATGTCTCTATGTGCAATGAACATTATGAGAAACACCAATACTGTTTCAAAAAGAACCAAATTTAGGCGTAAGTACTCACTTTTATTCCTGTCTGATGGACCTCTGCCATCTTGCAAGCAAGAAGCCTGGGGTCCAGGATTTAGTTGGCATAACTCTTTCTTTACTTCCTCTTGAATCACATACAAGTTTTCAAAGTCTGAATAATTCCATCTTGTGCTGCACTCACACAACCATAGGTTTACTGCACCTTCTAACATGGCCCTAATATAGCTGCATATCTCCTCCATCTTCTGAAAGGCATTTGCCATCTCAGAGTAATATATATGCTTATCCTGCAAAAAAAACACAAAAATCCAAGTCACATTTTCTTCCTTAACTGAATTTCTCAAAAATATTGTATCATAGCATCATGGTGTTTTTTATTACATTTATTATTTGCTTCTATCAACATAATTTATGTACAGATATACTATATGTTAAGAGACTGATTGATTGATTGATTTATTTATTTAACATCCATAACTGTTACATTATGTACAATTGGACAAGTCAGTTTTATAAAAAAAATATATGAGATTAAACATCACATCAAATGACTAATAATATAAAAAAACCATAGAAAAATAACATAATAAATCCTTTAAATATGAAAAAACAGTGGATGAGTATAATAAGGCAACAAAAGCTAAACTATAAATTACATGCAATATCTAAAATAAATTACCTAAGTATCTTTGTTCTATTATTAAGCTAATTCTTGTAAAAATATTCTTGAAGGGAATAAAAAGCTTTGCACAGCAAGTAATCCTTTAATTGACGCTTAAAAACCTTGAACTCTTGAATACTTCTTATTTGAGAGGGCAAGTTATTATACAATCTTATTCCCATGTTAATCACACTCCTTTTACAACGTGAGGTGTTACATTGTTGGACATACAAATTCTGCTTATGTACCGTGTTATAACTGTGAACATCTGAATACGAGATGTTATATATCCTATTTTTCCTTAAAAAACACAACGTCTCAAAGATATACAATGAAGTTAAGGTTAAAATTTTAAATTCACCAAAAAATTCTCTACACGATATCCTGTTATTGACTCTTTTGATCAGTCTTAAACATTTTGTTTGGATTTTAAATACAGTTTGAATGTCCTTTTGACCACAGCCCCAAAAAATAATACCATATCTCAATAAAGATTCAAATTTCGCAAAATACACACTTCTCAAAATTGGAAGACTGACCAAATCTCGTAAGGATTTGATAAGATAGATGGTTTTGTTTAATTTTTGAACTAAATGGTGAATGTGAGAGGACCAACTTAAATTCTCTGTAATATATATACCTAAAAATTTTAAATTAGCTGTGTATGTTATTTTCTTATTATTCAAATAAAGTTCCGGTTTATCAATTTGACGGGGACCACGTCCCTGAAAAAAGAGTGCTTTTGTCTTTTCAATATTAATAATAAGATGATTTACCGCGAACCAATTTTCTAATTGATGCATAGAAACTATAGATTACAACATGTTTCAGCATTTCAGTTATCATCACGTACATTTGGCTTATCTGCTCTTTTCCCTACATTAACCAATATTTGTATAAGAATGTGTTTAGTGCTGCCAGTCATTCAAATGTCTGTGCAATGCCCTTGCACTCATCTTAGTTGCAATACCCATTGGTTGTAATTAGGCCGTTTTATCAAATAAAATTTCATAATACCCAACACTCACTAACATAAGATCACATCTGAGAGAATTCCAATAAAATATCACAGACATAAAACACAACAGCAGCCTGCAGTACGACATGGCATAAAAACTATAGCATTCAACAAATGTATATTCATCAGTCAGAACTGAGACATTGTAACTAAGAGAAATATCATAACCACATGTCTGATATTTTAAAAATTTCTTATTTTAATACTGCAAGTGAGGTGAGTGCAAGAGCATTGCACAAACATGTAAATGACTGACAACACAAAAAAGGCACCCATATACTAGTATAAGCTCTGGAGAATGTAAGGAAAAGAGCAGGTAAGTCAAAGGTGCATGTAAACTTTTAACATATAGTATATCCATACACACATCTATACATTGTGTTGACAGAAGCAAAATAATAAGTATAAACTTCTTGAACTTAACAGGTTTCACTTGAAACTACAGACTTCTACCATATGTTGATCTCTGTCAAGTCCATGAAAGGTCCCATCTGTTGCAGACAAAGATTGTATTCTAAATGTTAAAGAATTAATTTTGGAGGGATGAATCCTCTTGTGAACCAACATAATTATATTAATTTCTTTCCAGCAAATCTTTAATCTAAATTGCATCCTTTAAGACTATATTACTCTTCAAGCAAAATAATCCCAACCAGTTACGCAAATACCAAGTAATATGAAAGTAAGACAAGTACCCCAAAAGTCAGAAAAGAAAGTACTAAAATGAGGGAGACAGAAGGACTGTCCTTGGTAACAAAGACTTAGGATCAAGTTTTTCAATTTAACACATGTCACTTCACAGTTCTAGGAGATCCAGTGCTAGGATCTACCTGTTTACATTGATTATCAGGATTGCCACTGAGCCACACAGTGAAGATGATGTGCACCAGCTGTTTTCACTATGTTGTATATTAGCGCGATTTTATGATATGCGACTATAAATGAGAATCAAGAAAGGCTGGTCACATTTTTACACAAAGTAACAGACCCATGCAGATAAACTTTTATCTCATAATTTTAAATTTTGTAATTTATTATTATATTTATATTATTTTTATACTATTGTATGAACATTTGTTAACATCACTTAACATAAAGTTTTTATTCTAGACATATAAGAAAAACAGTAGTTTTAGTAATTTTAGCAAAATACAGAAAATCAGATATATTAGTAATAATTGTAATACTGTAACATATATCCATATAGAAAGCAATTCAATAGTTTAAGAATAAGTTATTAGCATATATCTGCCTGATGATGGCTTTTCATAAGCCAAAACATGTAGCAGGATACCACTGAAATCAATTAACTCTTTATACACAGTTGATGTGAACGAGATTTTGAAAGTTTTGCGTTGTGATGGATAATACACACAGTTAGTATAAGTTAACATAACAGGATTCATTCCTTGAAGATTATAAATTTACATATATATTGTTCAACTCTGAACTTCTGACTCTCCACTTAACAGTACTAGCTTAACTCAATGGACCTGGGAGAAGTTATCTATACCAGAAACATCATACATTAATAATTTAAATATGGGTGTCCCAGGAGGAATGGACCAAACTTCAGGAGGGTGTTCCTTATGTTAAAGTATGCCGATATAACCCAAAACACCTATGTCCAAAGTTGAACGGTTACGGAGATAATGGCCAGAGAAGTGTCAAACTTTGACCGGGGTTACACACTTGTTGATTACAAAATACATATTAAAACTGGCAGGAATATGTGGATTCTGTAATGTTAATAATGTACGTAACATCAAACCAACTTGTGAGTGACGGAAAGCCATAAAATTGAAGTACAAAATACTCGCTCGCCATGTCATAATTGTCCTTAGGTTTCCAAGCAGTATACATAACACATGACTGGCGTGCGATGACGTAATATGGCTGCGCTATGAGCCGACCACATAACTCTTATTATACCTACATTCACGGATAATCTCTTTTGGAATTTCGTTTCCATTATCTCATGTGGATTATTATGGGACCACGTATGCACATTTCGTAAATTATTTACACCGTCCAGGGTAAAAGACGCCTCATCACTACACATGACACATGAATGGCAAGCGCTGGTGTAACATGACTGACTGCATATTCTGCTATAAGCCAACTACATAAGTATTAAAATACAGTACCTGCTTTATAGTAATTGTTCAAAGTGTCCTCCGCCAGCTGCAATGCAGTTTTCGGCACGCATCATGAGGGATTGGGTAGCAGAAGCAATGTTGCCTGAATGGTGACGTATGTGCTCTGCCGCTGCAAAAATACGATTCCGCAGTGCTTCTCGGGAATCGACCTTAGTTTCGTAGACTAAGGTCTTCATGTGGCCCCAGAGGTAATAATCTAGAGGCGTAAGATCTGGCGACCTCGGTGGCCATGCAATGGGACCACCACGACCTATCCAGCGGTTAGGGAAGGATTCATCTAAGTAGTGTCTCACGTGCTGAGTATAATGTGGAGGAGCCCCATCATGTTGGAAGTACATTTTCCTCCTTATCGTTAACGGGATGTCTTCCAACAAACACGGTAACTCATTCCTTAGGAAGGCTCCATACGTGTTTCCAGTTAAATTGTTGTGAAACACAAAAGGTCCGATCAACCTGTTCCCAAGCACACCACACCATACATTCACAGAAAATCTCTTTTGGAATTTCGTTTCCATTACCTCATGTGGATTATTATGGGACCACGTATGAATATTTCGTAAATTATTTACACCGTCCCGGGTAAACGACGCCTCATCACTGAATAAAATGACGCTTAACAGTTCGGGATGAGCTTTTATCCAGTGGCACAAATCCATACGCTGAGCATGGTCGCCTGGTTCCAGATGTTGTACCCTTTGATCATGATAAGGATACAGGTCTTCATCATGTAAAGTTCGCCACACCTGCATACGTGATACGCCGATGCGAGAGGCCATTCTACGTGTGGACAGACGCGGACTTCTATCAATCATGCCAAGAATATTCTCTCGTGTGTTTCTCATTTGTACATCCTCCCTTTCCGACTGCACAGAAACACTCGGAAGAGAACCAGTCTCACGCAATGTCTGGTGAATTCGCGTAAATACACGTCGAGATGGAATCCTTCGATCGGGAAAACGTCTTTGGTACTCTTCAACAGCAGCACGTGCATTGCCACCGCAAAATCCATACACAAAATGCATATCACAATACTCAACATGTGAAAACACAAAAGGCATTTCAGCAACACCGCACAAGTACACGTAATTACTAGCCATTCACGACGCTGACGCAAGATACACTGTAATCCTCTATCCTCTGTGAGTAGAGCATGAGATTATGGCTAGCATGACATCACCACACTCAAGGACAAACAGATAACAGTCACAGCTGACAGCTATAATGTGTGGACCTGCAAGAAGACCACACTTTTCTCTGGCCATTATCTCCGTAACCGTTCAACTTTGGACATAGGTGTTTTGGGTTATATCGGCATACTTTAACATAAGGAACACCCTCCCGAAGTTTGGTCCATTCCTCCTGGGACATCCTGTATATCTCAGGTCAGGACTCATATCACTACTGGCAGTTCTTCTCTGGTCAGTGGTGACTGTTGGATAGTTCTTGATATGACTATAAGTAGGAGAAATCTAAATTCTCTTCATATTACAAGAGGTGGCCTTTGGAAAACATTTGCTTTCAAAATTTTCAAAACTTGATCTGCTTTTCTTTTTTTAGACAATGCATATAAAGTTGAAGAAGTGGGTCCTTCAAGTAGTAACCATGGTACAGACAAAATTAAGAAAGCACTTTATTCAAGTAATGATGATGATAAGAATACAGAAAGAGACTGTTCATGCAGTGATATTGTATAAAGCTGAAGCAACAGGCTGTATTAAGTGCTGATGATAGCATAGATGAATGCAAAGAAGCAGGTTTTCAAGTACCAGTTTGAAATATACTTATGACAAAAAATTGGGTGCTATTTTGTGCCCTGTCCTGATCAATTCAACCTACATCCACAATGAACCTCTTTAATATTAAGAAAGCAGTCTTCTGGGATTCGGTACCATGTATATGTGGTGTTAACCGACGTTTCGGAGGAATGTATCACTTCCATCTTCTGGGTAGAAGGAAAAATATAAGAAATCCGCAGGTGAAGAGACCGTGAGAACCGGTAAAAGCGGATTTCTTATATTTTTCCTTCTACCCCGAAGATGGAAGCGATATGTTCCTCCAAAACGTCGGTTAACACCACATATACACGGTGCCAAATCCCAGAAGACTACTTTCTTCATAGTCACCGCCGTGAAAACCTCAAATCTTACACACTCTTTAATATTGTTCTCCTATCTGTATCTAGGTCACAAGGATGGTCTCTTCCATTCATGTTTTCTGACCAAAATTTTGTATCTTATCAATAGCTTTTAAAACTAATCTCCAAATTTATGTAGATTAGCTGAGGCATTTTCAGAACATCATTACTGCTACTGACATCCACCCAATCAGAGTGTTGTAATGCGACAGTGAAAATAATTCATGCTTTCATGTTGTCAGTCCAGTGAGCTGTGAACTTTTTAATCCAGCAAACGAAGTGGACAGACTTGAGAGTTTATTTATTTTTCTTTTACTAACAACCTCCAACCCTGGAAAAACATTTACCAACATTGGAGAGAAATGTGGCACAGAATGTAGTGACTTACCAGTCTCCCTGTAGCTGACAGAATAGGATATGTTTGGATCAGAAGCTGCTTTATCATATCCTCATGTTCTGTCACCACCAGCTGAAATTCCTTCCCCAGGCTTCCCAACATAACATTTGAAATTTGAGCCTCCTTCAGACGATAAACAAGGCCCCTCAAGGCCTGCAATTCCAGTATCAAGCCAGGATTTTCTTTGTAATTGGGATTATACGCATCCTTCCGTGTTGAAGTTGCCTCTATGATCTGGGATCTCTCAGAAGGAGACAGGTAATCTTCTGCTAGACCTATCTGTCTACATAATTCCACTTTAATTTCATTACATTTTCTTAGGTCCTGAGCTTCCCTTTCATTGTCACAGATCTTCTGAAGTTCTGAATGAACTGTTACCCCCTTTTCTTTCACATTAAGACTTTCCACTTCCTTCTGCAGGCCACTTAACTTGTTTTCTTTTGCCACAAGTTCAACACGCTCTTTTTGCAACTCTTCAACCTCCATTTCTTTGGCTTGGATCCTTTCCACCTCCTTCTGCATCTCACTCAACTTGTTTACTTTCGTCAGAAGTTCAAAATGTTCTTTTTGTAACTCTTCAACTTCCTTTTCTTTGGTATAGAGCCTTTCCACTTCTTTCTGAAGACTATCGCAGATGTTTCTCAGTGCCTCCAGGTTATCCTCTGAAGCCTCCATTTGTGCTCCTTTCACTGCCTCCTTGCCAGTGTCACGCTGAAGCTGAAAGCATATTTTACACAAATGAATACGGTGAAACTTCAATTTTACAATTCTATATTTTGCGTTTTTTGCGAGTTATATATATTTTTTTTGCACGGTTCTGGCCAAATGCTTATTATATAAATAAAGTTCAATGGCTTTTACTTTTTCTCAACTTCATCCACCCCCCTAAATTTGCACTGCATTGTGGTCCAGTCTAAATATGCATCCAATTCAATGATGCGCAGTGGTTAGTAATTCGTGCACACCTGTGATTTCATTATGGTCTATCATTCATAAGGGGAATCTTTAGGTGCTGGAGTCCAAGCAGCTCATGCCCTAGGGCAACTTTGATCCCTTTGCATCTGAGTATACTCGTAACTGTAACTCAATGATAAGCATTTGGAGAGATGACGTTGCAACACAGTGAATGTGTTTTCATAAGTAAATCATTCAACAGAAATGCACCGAAGTTAAATTCTTCAATCTTCCAGTTTCCGTATGACTTTACTTTGTAGGGACCGAATTTTGTGAATTTCACAGCAAGAGGGTGACATATGGAAAATAAAGAAACAGGGAAATATTAAAAATTAATATTTTAGCCCAACTTTATGGGCACATTTCACACATGTTGAACTGCCATCGTGGTTTAGACTTTCAGTGTACATGTAAATATTGTTTGTGAAGAACCATTAGTAAATTGAAAGAATTTACGCCCAATGTGGGCCTTTCTCCAAGCATTGAAAATCACTGAAATTTTAGTCCCTGGAAAGAACAGAATCTGCCCTTGCTTGTGTAGTTCAAGCAAGCACATAAGAATGCTGTGATCTGTATAATGATGATGAGACTGGTATATATTTCATTCTACAACCTAGTAAAACCTTCACTTTTGGAGGAAATTTTTGCCATGGTAGTATCAAATCTAAACAGCTGTACTCCTCGCATGCAATGTAATGGTAGTGATGAAATGCAACCACTTGTAACTGGAAAATACAAAAGTCCATGGTAGTCACATACATACATACATACATATGTGGGGGGACCCAAAAATAACCGGAAACGCCCTGTTGCGAGCGCATGCTTTGTAGTTACGAGTTGTGCTGCTAGGTGGTGTTAGCTGGGGGTCTCCCGCGACTGTTAGTGAGCTGGCGTCAGTCTGAGTTAAGTGGTTTGTCTGTGGTGCTCTGTTGTGTGCGTTCCTGTTTCAACCCTTTGGCGATTAGTGAGATGGCCGACCAGAAGGAACAAAGAGTGTGCGTGAAATTTTGCTTTCTGTTAGGGAAAACTGCAGCCGAGACTGTTGGGATGCTTCGGCAAGCCTTTAATGATGATGCTTTGGGGAAATCACAGGTCTACGAGTGGTTTTCCCGTTTCAAATCTGGCAACATGTCAACAGAAGACATGCCACGCCCCGGGCGTCCTTCGACAGGAAGAAATGACGAAAACATTGCCAAAATCAAACGTGCAATTGATGAAGATCGTCGAAAGACCATTGACCAACTTTCTGAGGAAATGAACATCTCATGGAGCACGGTCCAGCGAATTTTAACCGAAGGTTTGCACATGAGACGGGTGTCTGCAAAATTTGTTCCTCGCTTGCTCGGAGATGACCAAAGAGAAAACCGCGTGAATGTTTGCCGCGACTTGAAGAGTGAAGTGCAGTTTTCCCTAACAGAAAGCAAAATTTCACGCACACTCTTTGTTCCTTCTGGTCGGCCATCTCACTAATCGCCAAAGGGTTGAAACAGGAACGCACACAACAGAGCACCACAGACAAACCACTTAACTCAGACTGATGCCAGCTCACTAACAGTCGCGGGAGACCCCCAGTTAACACCACCTAGCTGCACAACTCATAACTACATAGCATGCGCGCGCAACAGGTCGTTTCCGGTTATTTTTGGGTCCCCCTTCGTACATACATACATACATACATACATACATACATACATACATACATAGATCATAGTTTCATTGATGCATTGTCTGATCCGGACCGGATATAGCACTTGTCATAAAAAGACTTGATTGCAAAGAAATAATTGAATCAACAACAATTACAAACAAATTAAGAATGACAAAAGACACTTATATACCATTAGAACTACCAAATATAGTAGGTGAAATTATTAATCACACCTTAGGCACATCATCAACAATCACAAACAACAATTCATTCAGTTTAAGGTCTTTCATTCTGGTCCGTCACACTAACAAATTAACAATCAAGTTCCTTCCGTCAAATGTGACACTTTTTTAAGTGCATCACAACACACAGACAAGCAACATCAACTACCTACAGACAACACACGTCAGCAACACCCCGAAGCAAAAAGATTGGGCCAAGCGGGAAAGAATTCTAGGAATTTTAAGAATTCTTACTTCAAATAATGAAACATAATTTTACAGAAGTAACGACGAACAAATAAGAAAGCTACTGTGGTGTGTGAAAAACTTTTAGTGAACCGATACTCTGGGTAATTTTAACTATTTGTAATTATTTTAATTAACTGGAACGTGGTTATCTTTGACAAAGTGAAGTTTTGTGTGTTGGTGATTTCTTTTTCTACTATAAATGCCTCTGATGATGGCTCCGTGGTGAGCCGAAACATGTAAGGCAGGTGGTGACGAGGTGGAAAACTTAAAAAAGTGTCACATTTGACGGAAGGAACTTGATTGTTAACAATTCATTCATTTATCCAGCAAAATTTTTGCTTGAAATGTGTTTGTGTATTGAATAAAAAGCATTTGAAATAAGCAAGTTTTTCAATGTATGCCTAAAACTATTCACATTGTCTTTCAAAATTGTATATTTTGGGGCAGATAAATTATGAATACAACACACCCCTTTGAATCAAAGGTAGTATTACTGAGGAAACATGTAACTTTTCAAACTGTCTTGTGCATATATGATACATAGCATTATTTGTTTGATAAATATTATGATTTCTAACAATGAACATCTTCATAGCATATATATATTGTAACGTATATTGTAACAATATATATATATATATATAAATATAAACAAAGAACTGTTAAAATACCCATTCTCTTAAACACTCTTCACAAGCTCTTCTAGGACTCAGTCTTAAGATAACCTGGCCTAATTGCCCAGTTTAGTAATGTCAAGAGACTGCCTACAAAATATGAAGCTAATACAAATTCTTGGATGACAACCAAAATATTTCAACATTACCTCACATATCTAGCCAGAAACTAGATAATGTGGGACCCTCAACGTCTCACAACCATATGGGCCTTCACAGCCTGTTACAAGGATAGCTTTACTTACTTTACTTTTATATCTAACCAGAAAATTAGTGCTAAAATAGACAAAATCTTGCTTTTCATTGTTTAGTGTGCTGCCCACCTGAAGACATATTTCTCAGCATTATTAAAGTTGTATTTCCCCAGTTAACTGTACCAGCCAGCTACAGGCTTTAGATTTGTGAAGAATCAACCATTCATTCAAGTGCCATTACAGAAAGCAATTGATTTGGAGGACTGCAGCCATGAGAGATGGACTGCTCCAAGATGCTAAACAGATGAGGCTGGATGTATTGTCTTCAGTACACTACATGTCAGAAGCCTGGAGATTGATAACACTCCCTACACTCAAGAATTACTTCATGAATTGTGGTTCTTTAATTTATTATGTCAGCAGTAATGATGACAGTGCAGTGAAACTCAGTGAAGATGAAGAAAATTACTGGCACAGTTTAAAACCACTTGGGGTGCAGTTTGAAGATTACACAATATGTGATAATGTTCTTGAAGTTTGTGAAATTCAGAATGCTGACCAGATGTCAGATCAACATTTCGCTAGGCCAGAAGAACATAAGCATAAATATCTGACATTCATAATACCAAAGTTTGAACTGTAAATTGAAACTACATTGAGATATGTCAAGTCCACTAAAAGAGAATCAAACTTTCTAGATTTAAATTTTTTTGATTACTACATTTTAAATTAGCTTAAACCATTAATGTACAGAATCAGAAAGTACTGTTTCTGTACAAGTTACTTCAAGAAAGTTATAAATACCTCCAAGTGACAGTGACGATGACTTTACTCACTCAGTGGAGCTGAGGGGGGCACATGGTAGCATAGTTGGTTGAGGCACTATGTTACAAACCGGAAGATCACGGGTTCAAGTCCCGATGTGGTGGATTTTTTTCAATTTACCTAATCCTTCCAGCCATGCTGTGGCCCTGGGGTTGACTCAGCCTCTAACAGAAATGAGTACCAGGTATCTTCCAGGGGGATAAAGGGTGGCTGGTGCATAACACTGACAACCTAATAGCTATCTGTGAGCTGATTGTCTAGATAATGTGAGACCCTCAACGTCACAAATCTCTGGGCCTCTATGGCCTGTTACAGGGATAGCTTTACCTTTACCAGTGGAGCTGAAACCTTCTTGAGAAGCAGCCAGTGTCTCAGCCACTCAAGAATTTTCCAACTTTTATGGACCCCCAAGGTTCATTACCATGCTCAGAAGAACCCTCCACTGGCCCCTATCCAGAGCCAGATGAGTTTAATCCATATTGCCCTATCCTGTTTCTCTAAGATCCAGCTTAATATCATTGACCCACCTAAATCTAAGTATTTCTAGTGGTGTCTTTCCTTCTGGCTTTCCCATCAAAATTCTATGTGCATTCGTCCTCTCCTCCACCCCCTCCCCCAAGCATGCTGCATGCCCTGCCCATCCCATTCTCCTTGAATTAATCAATATAGAAATGTGATTAAATTATAAATGAAATGCCTATTTTTAACATTAGAAATTAAAACTACTTCCTTGTTTAAAGAGTGAGCCAAACTAAACAATCCTTCTGTACACATACTTGGGTGTGTTTTGTAACACTTACATGAGTTTTGTTCAAACCTGTATAGCAAGCAGTTGGTTCAAAATTTTTTTGTCACTTTTTGCATCACGTGTGGTAGAACTGGTCAAAATATATGAACTTGAAAGTTTCATAAAAGCTTCCAACAGTTCGTGTGCTGTTGCGGGTTGTCAGAG